ATTTTGCTAATATAGAAAAGGACAAATAAACAAGATGAGATTACAATCTTTAATAGTTTTTAAATTAGAGAGTTAAATGGAAGGTACTTTGTTTTCTTCTTAGCTATTTTACTCCAAGACCGATTTCTCTACTAAACAAGAAGTTCAAAGGATACTTAGTAGTGGATGTTCAGCCATTTATGACCAGATAAATAATAAAATAACCATTTTTATTACATGTATGACATCTTACTTGATATTATAATTGCGAAAATTTTATATGGATGGATGTTGGTTAGAGTTTGTAGGCTAAACTGTTGAACACATTTCGATCAAATTTGGCATAAATGTAGAGGATAGTCTGGAAGAACACACCGGCTACTTGCATCTGACTTTTTTCATTATATGCGGACGAAGTCGCGGCCGAAAGCTACTAAATGAACATAATCTTCATAGACACTCCCTTCTGGGTTAAGCTAGTAATGGGAAATAAGAAATCCAAATATGAAGGAATAAATGTCCAAAACTAGAAGCATGTAGTTTCATAGTTTACTTAATTTTTAAAATAATCATATCAAATGAATAATTTATTTTTTAGTTTATAATTAAAACCCAATAAATATATTTAACTGATACAAAATTTTTGGAATACCGGAAATAACATAAAATACTTTGAAATCACATGATTACTAACTTAACACTTTAAAGCAGTCAAAAAAAATGACAATCAAGAAAGTTTTCGTATTTAGCAACTTTGAAAGAGGCTCTTATCGGCTTTCTATTTGAATTACTGTACTTTTTGAAGCCTGCCGTTATCTATAACTGAACAAAATTAACTTTTATTCCTAAAGACAGTCCCTTAAATATAAACATTCTTCTTAAATAGAATCAAAATTAAAGAAAAATAAAAAACAAAAAATTAGTGACATTTGACAGCTACTTTAAAAATAAATATCTTTATCTATACACACGTGCCTACAAAAATTGTGCCGAAATGACAAAAATCTATGAAACAATACGATATTTATATATAATACATCAAAAAAAATTAAATACTTACTCTGCTATTAGACAAATCCCTAAATATTGATGATAAACACAAACCACGATTTATTTCTAATTTCGCTAAGAGTCGGCATCTAGAAACACACACCGTCGACGCCATCTTTACACTACTTGTGTACACCCTTCGCAGAGCAATGACTACTACGGTATGTATATGTATAACTAAATTATACAGCGATTAGTCTCTCTGGCGCCATAAAACATTTATAATACGAAAAGATATGCTAAAATACTATACTTTACGCATGAATATAAGCATCATGTAAAAATATTATTGTTAAATTGTATCGTTGTTCACGTTTTAAATTATTAATATTAAAAAGAACAGTCTCACATTCAAACTTTTAGGAAGATGTTAATAACATTCAAAAAGTATTTTTTTTAATAGAAGCTAGATGAAAAGTTGTATTTAAACATAAAAATTAGTACTTACTTGAAAATGAAAAACAGACCCTTTATAATTTCGCGCGTTTTATTCATCTACAATGTTGGCATTACGAAAGATGTCAAAAGTGGTCAAAGGTGCGTTTAAATTACTAAACCCTAAACCTACTACATAAGATTTGCTACCTTCTAATAATTGGCAATAAATTACAATGTGTTTATTATATTCTAAATCCTTAACCTAGGTATGTTTAAAGACTTTTAGGATTTGTTTTTGTACTGTCTAATAAAGAAGGTTTGAATGTTCGTAAAATGATTACGGCCGGCCTCGATATTCTCAAAATATACTTTGTAAATAAATAAAATTAATAGACATACAAGAAAGTGCCATGACTGTTAAATATACAATAAAATAAGAAGAGATGGCTAATCGCGTTCAGCCGTGGCCCAATTTTTTAATCTATGTGATTCTGCTTTATCTGTGAAAGTATGACAATGTCAATTTGTAGAATTGTCAACATGACAAGACAACTTATTCGGCCATTGTTCAATGTTCATAGCGGTTTAAAGTGAAAAAGCGATTTACCGTTATTTGATCATTGTGCTTATTTTTCACGTAATTAATACTTTCCGATGGCTATACCTGATTATAAACTTAGTGCCGTATTGTGTGGGCACTCACTTGATGTTCGATGTGTAGCAATAACCAAAGAATCTTGTATTTTGTCGGGCTCCCGGGATAGAACTGCAAAATTATGGCACCCGGAAGGGTTAGTTTTACTCTTAAGTTGTGTTAAAAAGTGTTAGAAAAATACAATTAGAATATGCTCATATTTGTATCAGGTTATATGCATCATAGTGTGGCCCAAATTAAAATAATAATTGCAACAAATAAATACAACTAACTTCCTGTATTTCCACAGAGTGAAAGATTTCGTAAATGTTGTAACATACAAAGGGCACAATAACTTTGTATCTTGCGTGTGCTGGTTCTCACCTTGTGAAGCATTTCCTGATGGTCTAGTTATAACAGGCAGCAATGACAATACAATTATTGGTTACAATTTGCAAGATGGAACAATTCTTATAACTTTAAAAGGACATGAAAATGCTGTATGCAATATTGCAACCAGTAGAGATTCAGGGATATTATTAAGGTAATTTCATATTTAAATATCAGGTGTTTCTAAATTTTATTTTTAATTCCACTCAGATGTGATTATGCCATTTTTAAAAATACTTGCTGTTGCCCATGCCTTTGTCCATGCATAAAAACAAACTTAATTATTAGCCTATGTGTTTTCTTTCTACATCTGTGCCAAATTACATTGAGCTATTCAGGATATACCGTCTAACAAACATCCATCCATCTAAACTTTCACATTTTGAAATATTTTTCAGTTCAAGTTGGGATAATACAGCAAAGGTATGGAATATCAACAACATTCATTCAGAACCACTGACACTCAAAGGCCACCAAGCTGCTGTGTGGGCAATTGTGGAACTTGGTAATGGGACTTATGCAACTGCATCAGCCGATAAGACCATTAAGTTATGGAAGAAAGATGGTAGCGGTATCTCAACTTTAACAGGTAAGATTATTGTTATGACTGTTTCCTATTGGGCCAATCAACCCACCTTTTAGGTTGCACCCATTGTATGGATTCAATTGGCCCAATGGGAAAAGATTCTCATTGGCTTGATCATTCAGTGGGCTGATCAGTCCATTGTGAAACACCTTTTGTTAACATGGAAAAAGTTGGGAACTTAGTGTGGAAGGGTTGACAGAAAATGTGTCATTATTTGTACATATGTCCATTTATAGTAGGTACTGCATCTACATATTAATTTCTTGTAGATTGAACTAGAAAGACTTGTAATATGGTTGTTTGGTATTTTACTATATTTAATTGCAAATAATTTGTTAGACCTTAGTAGAAAAAATGTTACCTTTAAGATAGGTATATGTGTATTTCAGGGCATACAGATTGTGTGAGAGGTCTAGCCGTGGCCACAGCTGATGTGTTTCTGAGTTGCTCCAATGATGCCACTGTCAGATTGTGGACTAACAAGGGAGAGCGACTTAATACTTATTACGGACACTCAAATTATATTTATAGGTTAGTTTTACTATTTAATAACTGCTTTTGACCCAATATTAAAAAAGGTACCAGTAAAAAATGTAATTGAAAGAGATTTTTAATGTTATTGTAAATATATTTTTGATATACATAGAGATAACCTCTCTATTTTCAAAAATGATTTTGGTAAAAAGTGTATATTAATTTACAAATCAAATAGGCTTTAGTCCATTTTTTTAAAAAGTAGACAAATCAGATTATGGCTCAAAAAAAATTGACAAGACTATGTGGTATCATACACAAAAATACCATTTTAATATGTGATTTGTAATATTTTCCAGTATCTGTGTGAATCCCGGTGTGCCTAATAGCTTCACAACATGTGGCGAGGATGGTACAGTAAGGTTGTGGTCTAATGGGGATTGTGTTAGAGAGATACACCTGCCAGTGCAATCTGTTTGGAGTGTCGCATGCTTGGACAATGGTGATATTGTAACAGGTAAATAAAAATTAACTTGTTATATGTTATTTATATAATTGATGATTGAAGTATACAAATAATTGCTAATGATGGATTAACAGATCTTAATGACATTCCTAAATGGTGATAGATTTGAAATATTACAAATATTTTATGCTAATAATTCGGGTTTTGGTACTATCCTCACATTTTGACATGTAAAATACAATCTGAAGACTAGAATGTGATCGAAAAGTAAAACCAAATATTGTTCATTTCTTAGGACAGTTAAATATTTGTGTCTTATAGGCAAAATTGACATTTAAAAAAAAGGAATATCCAAAAATCTATGTTACTTTCAGGTTCTAGTGATGGAGTAGTGAGAGTATTTACAAAGGACCCTGCGAGGTATGCTGATGAAATTACCATCAAAACATTTGAGGAAGAAGTGGAGAAAATGCAGTTTGCGGCTAAACAAGAAATCGGAGGCTATAAACTTTCAGAGTAAGTTAAAATATTGAGACTATGACCATTTTTGAAAGTAAACTAATTCATGTATACTAACATTTTAAAGAGGAAAGATTTGTATTTTTGAATGTATTGAACTTTTAAAAAGCTATTTTATTATCTTTCTTTTTCAATTTTACTTGGACAAAGTCATGCAGCTAACAGCAAGTGTAAATATAATGGACTAAGTCAACATATTGCTCTTAAAACATAGATATTAGTAATTTTTAAATCTATGCAAGCATTGGTTAAATTCACCCCTAACTTAGGGCTCCAAGCCCTTCAGCGGGGATGTGACAGCTTGTATGGTTAAGCCCTTAAATGCATGACGAAATGCATACATCAAAGCAAGAAAAGACTTCCTTTCTTACCCAATGCACTATTTTGAAAAGACATTTTCTTCCCCTTAACCTATTTTCAATTTATGGTATTTAAAAATAAATAATGGTGTATTTAAGGGTTAAAAATATATTTATTTCCAGTATACCAGGGCCAGAAGTATTGTTAGAAGCGGGCAAGACAGACGGACAGACAAAGTTAGTTAGACGTGGTACAAACGTAAAGTGTTACTCGTGGAGTGCTGCGGAGTGTTCGTGGAATGAAGTGGGCGACGTGATGGGCGCGCAACCTCCCACTGAAGGGAAGACTATGTATCAAGGAAAGGTGTGTTTTATTCGCTTTTTGGTACTTTAAATGCATTTTTTAAATTTTATAATGATCTAAATTGTATTATTTTTATTTGATTATTTATACTGTTATTCTAATACTCATAATAATCTAAAGAAAAAAATTTAAAATAACTCAGAAACTACTGGGCTGATTTAAAAACTCTTTTACCCTTAAAAAGCTACGCTGTCAGTGAGTTATGTTACTCAGACTATGTTTTATATTATATTTTAATTAAACGCGGATGAAGTCGCGAGCGAAAGCTAGTAGGCTATATTTTTAATTTCACGCAGACGAAGTCGCGAGCAACTGCTAGTATTTTCTCCCCTCTACCCAATTGTATTCTGAGATTGTTGATTTATTATTATTTGTGAATATATTACATAACCATACAAAATAAAAAAACTTCAAATCTTTATTGTAATTAATGTTTCTAAATGTTATTTTCAGGAATACGACTATGTGTTCAGCGTAGATATAAAAGACGGCGCGCCTCCTATCAAGTTGCCCTTCAATAAGACTGAGGACCCCTGGGTAGCGGCACAAGCCTTCATACATAAGTAAATATTTCTTACCTCTATAGTTATATTATAAAGAGGAAAGATTTGTATTTTTGTATGTATTGAAATAACTCAAAAACTACTGGACCGATTTTAAAAATCTTTCATTGTTAGAATGGTAATTTATTTGTAACATAGGCTACATTTTTTTAATATCACGCGAACAAAGTCCCGAGTAATAGCTAGTATGTTATAAATGCGAAAGTTTGTAGTCTAAACTGCTGAATGGATGTCAATGAAATTTGTAATAGTAGAGAATTGTCTGGAATACATACGCTACTTACCTTTTTTTATACCACTCAGAGTCGCGGGCAAAAGCTAGTATTTACACATATAAAGTACCACTAAAGTATGAATTTGATAAGTACTAATATTGATTTTTTTTTTCAGAAATAATCTACCCCAAGTGTATTTAGAACAAGTAGCGAATTTTATAATAACGAATGCAAAACTAAATACGCTGCCTACGCCCAGTAACGGGTGAGTAAGTTGATTTTATATATTTCTTAATTCTCATAATAATTTCAAATAATCTAACTACTTTAAAGATGATTATGACCAGTCATTTAAGAAATGTATAGACTAGGCATAATGAACAAAATTTTGTTCGCTGGTACTTTCTCTGAAAGGTACTATAGTGTGTCTAAATAATTTAGATTAGTTTGACAATTCACTTCAAATTTAATAGGGATGGGTTGTGTAAAATCAGTCATGAATCTTATCGATTTTCGATTTTTACTCTTATACAAGTTGGAATTAAAAAGAAACACTGTTTTCTCAAATTAATAATGACCATAACAAATAATGAAGGAAAATAAATGTTTATTATTACTACAGTGGTACGTAATCGAATTGGATTTCGCTATTATATCTGTCATCGCTAAATTCTCTACACTATAATCAATACTAGAATTGTCCTCTAAGTTATTGAATAAGAAAATAATAATTTTAGTTGAGTTCCATAATTATTTAAACCGAATATCGATAGTTCAAAATTGTTCGCTATGCGTGTTTGTGTCGTCACTACGATACCTGTCTATTAAGTATGGCATTTGCTTTTATACAAATTGAATTCGATACTTCATATGCGTCATTTAACAAACTAATCTATCTTATTTAGACAAACTATATAAAAGTTGTCGAGTTTAGTGCTACCTCATTTTGAAATGTTATAGAACATTTTAGAAAATTATAATACACTCAATATTTTATAAACTAAACAGTGTTACAAAATAAAATATTGCCAATTAATTTAAATATAATTAATTATAATAATATGTGGTTAGAGGATCCATTAATAGATAATGTTAGTGAGAAAAAAAAACAGACAAATTGAGTACCTCCTTCTTTTGGGAAGTCGATCAATTATGTAAAAAATATTTCAAATGATCATCATTTTGTGATGAAAACCACCTCACTGTGTTAGAAAAAATATATATTTTTTGAATCTCTTTGGCTTTATCACGATTTTTATTTCCGAGCGGACGAAGACGTGAGCAATAGTTAGTCTATACTAATATAAAGAGGAAAGATTTGTATTATTGTATATATTGAAATAACTCAAAAACTACTGGGTTGATTTTAAAAATTCTTTTACCATTAAAAGGCTAAGTTATCAGTGAGTAACATAAGCCATCATTTTTTTAATATATTTTTTTTATTTCACGTGAACTAAACCGCGATAAACAATTAGTAATTAACATAATGTTCAGTTATGCAGATCCGTTCACCGGCGAGTCCCGCTACGTGCCGGGGTCTGGGCCCGCGACGCGCACTGTCCATGCTGTCGACCCCTTCACGGGCGCGGGCGCGTACACCACTACCACCGCACCTGCAGCCAGCGATAAGCGGTATATACCACATGATTCTTATATCAGGTAAAAGTTATTCTCCTAATATAATAAAGCTTAAACACACAAAATAACTACTATGTCATCACCATCCCTAGCTCAGTATATCCCCACTATGTTGTCCAATTGGCATCAAAACGTGGAGTAAATTATGTATATATAAAATTTGAAAAGCGAAAGTCACATTGATACAGCGGGATTCGAACCAAAGACCTGTAGATTACGAGTCAAATACTTAAACACATGAGCCGACGCTCTATGTCTATATTTCAACCGTTTTAATAGAAAACAGCAATTAATAGCTGTGAAAATACACATGCCAGTAGCTGGCGTGGTACATACCAGCGACATACATTTATCGATTTTTCGGTGAGAATTTATAATTTTACATTAAAAACTTATACAGTTAAGCTATACCTCCTGTCTCTAAAGATAGAAGATAAAGTGTATTATAAATTTATTTTATACTAGCTTTCGCCCGCGACTCAGTCCGCGTGGAATGAAAAAATAAAACTTAGTACTCTATGATTTCTTCCAGACTATCCTCTACGTCTATGCCAAATTTCATCGAAATCACTTCCTCCGTTTAGGGAAACTCTGATAAACATCCATCCATCCATCCAAACATTCCCATTTATAGTATTATTATGATTTTCAGATTCGATCAAGCAAATCTAAAAGCAATATACGATAAGTTAAAAGAATTCAACAGTAAGACTGGCGATGGAAATAATACCTTCACAGACGAACAGCTAGAAAGTATTGTTAAATTAGGAGAAATGGTAAGTATGTTTTACTTTTTATATTGAAAAATAAAATAACATATATATTTAAAAATAAACATTAAAATGTTGATTTCAGAATAGTACATTCAATCCCGATACAATTAGTTTATTGAAAAAAATGTTGGAATGGCCAAAAGGTAAATATGATATTGAATATCTTTAAAAAAAACAAATCGGAATTTTTAATATAAATGTTACGTGAATTAATTTTTTTTTTCAGAGATTTTATTCCCTGTGTTAGATGTGACACGGTTAGCAATAAGAAGGAAGGAGATAAATGGACAGATATTTGACACTACATACGGACCCAATTTCGTCAAATATCTGCTCTCTCTACTTAGTCCAGGTTTGTTTTACAATTTTTTTAATCCTTGTTTGATTTGGTGTTACTATAATCAGGATATTTAGACAAAGCGAATTCTACACTTGTGCAGATTTTTATTTTAAAAATATGAATGTTGGTGTTATCCTACATAGCAAATAAGTTTACGCTTTGTAATATTAGTATAGATGTTTATTTTAATGGTGGCCATCTTGGATTTAACAGTGTTTTATATGTTAAGTCATTTCATATGACCCATATTGGAATGTTTGTACGAAGTCCGCCATTTTGTGATGGCGGCCATTTCGATTTTTTATGTTGCACCATAATTTAGTAGTCAAATACAATTTGATGTCCATATTATGGAGGAGTAGATTTATTTTAATGTTATACTAACTTTCGCCCGCGACTCCGTCTACGCGGAATTGAAAAAGTGTTCCAGAGTATCCACTACGTCTATATCAAATTTCTTTAAGATCCGTCCATCCGTTTAGGTTATAAACTCTAACAAACATCCATCTAAACTTTTATATTAGTATAGATATTGTTTTGTTGTAGATAATTTAGCAGCTAACCAGATGCTGTCGATGCGAGTGCTGGTGAACGCGTTCAGCGAGCTGGCGGGCGAGATGCTGGTACTGGCGGCGCGCGACGCCATCCTGCACTGCCTCATCTGCCTCACACATCTCAATAATAACGCACAGGTGATAAACCCTGTTTTCCCTCAGAATGACGGGTATTTGAAGATCCCCCCCCCCCACCATACCAAAAAAAACACTTAAACGTCCGATTTTAAAAAAATATATGTACCCTTTACTGTGTTACTAATTGGGAAAAATAGTAAAAAACAATCAAAACGATAGCCAAATATAGAGTTTGTAGCCTAAACGGCTGAACGGATTTCGATGAAATTTGGTATAGACATAGAGGATAGTTGGGAAGAAAACATAGGCTACTTTTGCTTTTTAATTCCACGTGAACTTTCAGATCGCGGCGGCGTCGCTGCTCCTGAACTTGTGCGTGGCGTTGGCGCAGCAGCCCGACAGCGCGGAGCTCGCCGACTGCCTGGTGCAGCTGCTCACCTCGCTCACTGACAATGAGGCTTACTTCAGGTAACTATTATAAAGTGTATTTTTTTTATAATAAAAGGGGGGAGGGACGGGAACACAAAGGCAGTCGACAACGTATGGATGTCCAACACCAGAGGAACTACAGATCTTTGAGGAAATGATAGGCTCGCTTCTTTACTGTAGTAGCCGTTGCTCGCGATTTCGCCCGCGTCAAATTTAAAAATACAGCCTATGTTACTCACTCAAATCGTAGCTTTTTAACCTCTAAATGCACGATTTTTTTTTTAAATACTGTAAATTGAAAAGGGTAGTGAATTGAACATAGATTAAGGAAAAAAAGAGAAAAACCTATTTTCAAAATAGTCTATTGAGTAAGGAAGAATAGACTGATGTATAAATGCATCATCATGCATTTGAGAGTTAATGGTGAAAGTTGAAATCGACCCAGTAGTTTTTAAATTATTACAATACGTACAAAAATACAAATCTCCTCTTTATAATATTAGTATAGACTAGGTTGCCCACATCCTCGCCTGGAATAAAAAAAATGTAGCTTCTTTCAAACTCTCATCTTTGAGAGAGATACTCTCATACTCCAAGCTAAATTTCATAGAAATCTGTTCAGCAGTTTGGTCTACAACTAACAAATACCTATCTAAAATTTTACATTTATATTAGTAAGTAAAATGTAAAAAATTAGGTTGATGGATGGATGTTTCTTAGAAGGTATCTAAAAACTGGCTCTACCAATATTCATGTTTGTCACAAATGTAGATTATTGTCTGGAAGAACATATAGGCTACTTACCAAGATTTCTTTTTATTCTGTATGAAAGAAGTTTTCTATTAAAATTTCCCAAAATATCTAACAAAATGTTTTGTAATTAAATTTTCATGTTTCTTTCTTACAGGGGTCTAGTAGCTTTAGGTACATTGTTAGCTGAATCTCCACAAAAACTTCCAATACAAACGAAAATTGTGACAAACACACAACTTCACAACAGACTGAAGAATGACTGCAACACGACATCCAGTGATGCCAACATTAAGAAAATATCGCTCTGCTCTCAAGAAATTATCAGTTTATTATGAAGTTACAAAACTTATTAAATTTTATATTCCCGCTATTTTTAAAGCAATTTTCAATTGAGAATAGACTATGATGCAATTTGTACAACCGATAATCGGATTTCGGATCAAGAAATAAACCCTTGCGGAATTACGAACAATATGAACTTACTTTACGTATATTAAAGCAGACTAAAATGCCTCTACTTCAATTTATTTATATTCCTTAGTGACTATCTCTATATTCCGCTGGACAGGTTGGAAGTTTTAGCTTTATTCCTATTTATAAGCGCCAATTGCAAAATTTATCAAGTCGAGTTTCCAACATCCAAAATGGCAGAATTCTAATAAGCACAAAGTACCACGGCTTTTAGCCTGTCCAAAGATCAAGGCTTTTGGTCGCTATAAATTGTATTTCGGTTATGCAACGCCTTGTTTATCAGCTTTTAATAGGTCAAGTAATAGGTAATAAAAAAAAGTTTTTGTTTTCATAATTTATAATTGATTCAATAGAATAAAAAAATAAAGTTTTTAATGTACCAACAGCAATAAATGTAAAACGAAAAGGGAAATAAATCTTTCATTTATGCACCTTGGAAAATTTAATATCACCCATAATTCAATCTATTTAGGATTTTCAATGCACAAGCACATATTTCCGTTTATTTCTAGTCTTTTTAGTTTTTTTTTTTTTGTATATGTGTTTCTGTAGTAAGCATTCAAAAATAGAATTAAATAAATTTATTACAATAATCAAATTCAAAGTACAAAATATGTCCTTAAAATAAACATTTATTATATCTTCGCATTTAAATGAAATAAACAACAAACACTCTTAATCGTCACTTAACCTACACTAAGTGACCACTAACGAGTGTGACTTAATTTTTGTAGATTCAACATTTTTACTTTATCAATAAAGCATTGTGATTTATAAAAAAATGTAACTTAGTTTTATTAATTATCTAACAGTAAAAATAAATGTTTGACCATTAAATATATATTACAAACTAAAATAATGCTCAATTAAATAAAAATATTAATATTTCATCATATCATACAATTTATATGATTTTTTAATTTACTTCGTCCTTTCAAATATTTCATTGTTCTATTTTTAAAAATGTATTACATTTTCAATTTATTTTATAACTTGGGCGAAATAAAGTGACGCTACAATAATTTCAACGGTGGAGCCATCATACTATAAGAAAACAAAATATTTTGTGGAAATGTCAAGTTTCAATATAAAGGCATGAAATAAAGCCCGCTACACACGCTCTTTATATGAACAGTACAATCGTTTAAATAATAAATATATAATAATAATAAATCTAATATAATATAATAATAAATCTAACAAAACTAGAACTGTTTATCAGTGTTACTTAAACAATAGATTTATCTGAATTATCAAATGGTTAATTAAAATGAACGTGTGTAGCAAGCTTAAAAAACTAACGCAAAACTAAAGTATGGAAAATCGCAAAGGTTCATTTAAATATTAAATGAGCCATATTATTTTAAATCAAATCGTGGCTAAAATGTGAACGAAACTCCAATGTAACTTCATGTGTACAGACAAAATACAAAGTAAATCTATAAAAACCCTTATTTATTTCTCTCTAAGGTCCTCATGTCTAAGAACCAAGTCAGCAGGTGTAGAACATTAAGTTATCTTCTTAAAAACAACTAAAGGTATATGAGAAAGCTAGAACTTATTATGGAATTTCCTATAGCAAAAGCATTGTATATATAACATTTAAGTTGGCACGTCGGACAAAAGCATACTCTTATTAGCGACGTGCCAAAATATACCGGTAAGTTTGTGAAATCACACTAAGGGTTGCCCTTAATGTGCTTAGTTATTTGAGTACTTCACTTTTTCTTCTTCAACTCCTCGAAGCGTCGGTTAAGATCTTCAAAATCTATTTCGTCAGTAGCAGAGTCGTTTGAAGTGTTTGTAATATTGCTGTGTGGTACGGATGGTAGTGGTAGGTCCGATGGCACCGATGGTAATTCTGGTAGCTCCGGGAAGTAGTTCTGTGGTACACGGGACCTGGGTTGTGGTGTTGGCACGTGCGCCGGCTGGAATAAAAATTAATCCATCTATAGTGATTACAATTATTTGTATCTTTGTATGTATTGAAATAACAAAAATACTGGGCCGAATCCAAAAATCCTTTCACAGTTACTTCCTGCGTTGGCGCAGTGACCCAAAGTAGGTCTTGGCCTCCGACACGAGATAGCGCCAGTTACTAGCTATATTTTTTAATTTAATGTGGACAAAGTCCCGAGCAACAGCTAGTAGTTAATATAATAAAATTCTCGCTTTGTTATGTAGGACATCAGTAAGCACAGCATATTTTTGAATAACTCGTTTTTTACTATAAAGCCCTACATTTTTGACATGCTAGGCTATATATTTTAAGCTAATAAAATTAGAAAAAAAAAATTGTCAGAAAGGGACAAAAACTACAAGCCAATAGCAAAAAAGCAAGGTTGCTATGGAAACAGTATTTGTTAAGCCATTGGCTAAAGACTTTGTTGCCATTTAAACATTTCTAATTTGGCATAAGCAAATGAACTCACAGAACAATAAAATAAAGTTTTCATAATGTCATGCGGATGATGCCACACAGAGACAGCTATTTTAATTATGAATGATGAAAGGCCAGTTCGCTACATACTTGCTAAATATTAAAAAAGCTAATGGATATGCAAAAAGTAAATAAAAAACGAAATTACCATATCATGTGCAATACTATCATAAGCAGGCGGTAGATTATGCATTTCTTCCTGTAAATAAAAAAAAATTGTAATATTCGCTCTACAAAATTGACCAACGCTTGCTTATGACGATAAACGTGAATACGCAAGGTTTTTACTTGTATTGGCATAACTATAAAAAGATCAATTACATGCAATCAAACTATAAATGCCTATTTCTACTAAGTCTCATCTTATAACTGGGGTCACATCAGTGGAAATATAACATGAGATTACATATTAGTTGCCAAGTAGAAATAAACAATGTGCAGATTCATATGAAAAAATTAAGCTAAAAACTAAAAATCACTTGAGAATTGTAAGTCTACATTAAAATAGTTATGGAAATTAAAAAAAAAAAGTATAAAACCATTCAAAAATCTTACCTGAAGGAAGCTGTTGCTCAGATTCTTAGAATCAACTCCGGGAGGCAAGTTGTAGTTCATAGGTGACCCACTCGGGCCACTCGGATAGTTGGCTGGTGGGGTTGCTATAAACCCACCAGCTTTGCCTCCAGATGGCTGCTATACAAAAACTTAATTAAATACCTAATAGTAACTACTATAATATGAATTACTACAAAAAAACTTCGCAATTAAAATTGTACAGTAGCGGACATTATTGGTGTTCCACTTATAGAACAATAAATAATCCAGCTCTAACAAATAACTAATTAGATAACAGTAAGATGCAACAACAATAGAAATAAAAAGCAATTATCAGTGAACCACTACCAGATTCTTTTTTCATAGCTGCAATCTATTTTTTATTGTTTCTCATCTAAATGCACACAAAAATGCAAACAATTGTAGATTTTAAGGTGGAACACCAACAGATTCCCTGATTGTACATACAGGGAGTAAAATAGTCTATTAATTTTCTTATGACCAGAGACCAAGCCTTTCAACATTGTAATTATTGATTATTTTTAAAACAATACAAGGTAAAGGGAGTTTCCTATTGGGCAAACTGGAAAAATCCAACAACTCATTAGGAATTTTTTCCCATTTCGTGGTAAATGATAATACTAGGGTAGTAACAGGTATTGAGTTTGTGACTTACAACTGTTGGATAAGAGAATGGTTGTACAGTAGGTCCAGGCAGAGTGGGTACGCTGGGCATGGAAGGCATCTGTGGCATGGGAGGCTGCGACGGGAAGCCTATAAACCCTGGCGGCATCGGTGGACCATTGATGTCAATTAATAAAGCATCTCGACCTGAAAACAAAGTAAATTGTAAACACATTTGTAAAACATGTATAAGTTAAAACCAAAGTTTAAAAAATGCAATAATAAAGACAATGACATAAAAGCTGTGAATATTAATTACACAAAATCCAGAAAACTTTTCTTATATTTGTTATAATATGTGATATAACCAACCTAAGTTATATTTAAATTTTAACATGCTTAAATTTTTTATATTATACATGACAAATAAAACGGGGAAAAACAAAGTAATATAGATATAAATAATTGATTTATGTGTAGTTTTATTAACCCTTAATGCGACAGAGTTTTTTTTTAGAAAAAAAAAATGTTATATGTTGCCAAGACACTAAAATCGAAATCTTACATATTCTCAGTACATTGTTTTTTATTAGTTGTTTGTCACAGTGGACACTTGAATTAAGGGTTAAGTAGTACTATAACAGTCAATAATGAATTAAATCATAATTAAAACCTCACCTTCTTCCTCTCTCATGACTTGTTCATCAGGTTCATATTCCACATTATATTTCTTAGCAATCTCTATTAAATATCTCTCGACTAGTATCTTGGGTGGACTCTGTACAGACAACTTGTGTTTCATTTTATCACTTATTGTGTTCACATCTTCACTACGACATGCATCTGCATATATCTTACCATACTTTGCTGTCAATAAATCTGAAATAATCTTAAGCTCCTAAAAACATAATTTTTTCTTGTAAAAACATGTTGCCATTTGACTACAAAGAAACTAATAAAATCTTTTATTACCTGTACATCAGTGTGCATTCGCGGCGCAACCCAAATAAGACTTGATATGGCTTCAGCTAAGCCTTCATCTAATTCTTTCATTTGAGTAACAAGACCGAATCTTGCTAGTATTAGATCACAGTACATTTCAACTATCTCCATTGCCTCTACTATGTAATCCTCTCTAAAACAAAGGAATTTAAAAAATACTGAGACTCGAAACTCTATAATTAGTTGCTTACACAAGACTTTACATAAACCGTATGTAATGCAATAAATTGTATAAAATACCTGATTATATGTTCCACTCTGATTTTAGCACGTTCAGTTTTACCAGCAGCTATGTATTCCGCAATTTCCTTGCGAGCTTTTAGAGCTAATTCAGTTTTCTTTTTCTCGAGTAGTTTAAGACGGTTTATAGCCAGCCTTAAGTGAGTTTTGAGCTTCGTATAATTCGGATTTGTAGAAAACATTTTGTTAACTTTGCTTCAAATTAATATCACAAAACTACTGATGAGTAATACGTATTTAACTCATTTGTTTGTTGCATGAATCATAGAAAAGGAATCATGGTTTGTATTTTGACATTTAACTTTGACACATGTCTATTTTGTTTCCACGTACGCATACTTTGTTGTAGTTAATAATATTTATTATCATACAAATACGAGAGGCTTGTAAAATCCATTTTGTAGGATTAATGTTGTTTTAAATAAAGATAAATGTATTGATAATTAGCACATATTACCAAATAACTTTTAAGAATAAAGAATACATCAAAATAGTTAGAGATAGCACATGCGAATGCGATTTATAGCATGACCACACTAACCATTTCTACCACTTGAGCTACTATCAAACTTAGAACTTATGGTATGTCTGTTACCGCTAAGTTGAAAATATCGTTAGATTTCAATTTCTCCAACTATATTGTTATCTTACATTATTGTTGATAAGTATATCAACAATTGTCAGATAACTGAGTACATTTACATGATTTTGAGGTAAATTAAAGCAGCAATTTGAAAAAGTAACATTTTATTTTACTTTCGTAATGTAATTAGTTTTAAGTACACATATAATACAGGACATAGATATTATGTCCACTTACATACAACACTACTGTTAATATTAGAGATTCAACATAAAACATTTATATTTACTATTAAAATTGTGAAAATGCAACCATTGAGCATAATTTACGACTATCAGATCATTAGGCTTACAAGTATAATATGCATTCTTAAATTGGCTCAATAAATTTGTAACAAAAATATAATTTTGTTCATATTTAAACAGTTGATACATTTTTTGCATATATCAAATATTTATTTAACAATATACTGATGTTTTAATAACCTTATATCACTTTAGAACGGATTTTTAACTGTTTGCATTATTATACAAATAAAATCATAAAGTCAACAACTTATATCTATTATTTACTAAATGGAACCATTGTTTTAATTGGTTAATACTGTTCTTGTATATAAAACCTAGCATTTTAATAACCACCAAAAATTGACAAAGAATTTTTAAATAACATACCAATACAATACAGTACAAAATTGAATCTAAAATTAAATTATTAATAAGCAACAAAAATTTTAATAAGCTAAGCTCCCTCTACATATTGTCTGTGTGAATTATTTATTGTCACAATAATTCCTAAATGTTGTTGTTTAACAATAAAATAGTAAATATATTTACAAAACGTTACAATCACTGTACATTACAAAAGGTCAAGAAAGTATAAAGTCAAAATAATACTGCTGAATTGCAAAAATACACTAAACTTTGAGTGCTTAGATAGTCACATTATAATCTAAACATTCAGTCATTGTCTACATCAATACTATGTTTCTTCTCAAACCTACTGAGCGAATTTTGGCAGTCATCATGAATAACTACAGTGGTAGCACTAACACTAGAAGGACTATGCGAGTGCGTGATATTTGTGCGATTACTGTCTGCCAAATGTTCTAATTCATGACTCTCTAAATTTGGCACTCCTGAACATATGGAACTAACGCGAGAGATTGTTTTTCTATCTTCAGCCGCAGACTCCTTTCCTGAAGTTGTCCCAACTAATTGCAGGAGGGAACAAAGAAAAAAGGTTGCATACACCCAGCTGACAGACATGATTAGCGCCAGAAAAGCACCAATTTGGGAATAAGGTAATAAATTTGATCGTAATAAAAATATTCCAGCAATCCCTGTGGTCAGTGCTGCCGCTGCAGTAGGACCAGAGGATGCTGTCAATGCATATTTAACTCTGGTAGACTTTGTACCACCAGCATTTGTATAACTTAAAGCATAATGAAGACTAAAATCTACAGCTAACCCTGCTGATGTTGATATTGCTACACTTTCTAATACATTTAATTTCCAGTCACTTAACACTAAGATGGCTATTGTAACTGTAGATGAGAATACCATCGCTGCTAACGCACAAATACTGATGATCAAGCTACAGGTAGCCGGGATAAGTACTATAAACCCTAAGCTAGCAGACAATATTAAAGCCAAGATAGTCCCACTTGCTAATGTTTTCTGTAAATCATAAAACTGCAAGTCCGATATAAACCAACCATTACGCATACACGAGGGAGCAGACGACAGTTGATGTTGTGTCCATTTCTCAACTTGTTCGAAAAAATTATTCATTGCAGTGTAAGACATTGAATATGGAATGACACTTTCAAATTCTATCACAATCGCTGACACATTGGGTGGATTCGCACTCCTTAGAAATTTAGGTCCAGCCACTCCTGGCATAAAAAGTTCCCTAGGAGTTTGATATAATGATTCCATCGCTGATAAAATACAAAAGTCAAAAATTTCTTTTGTATATGGAAATCTTGAAGATTCACAACACGGTGTTCTGTTTATTTTATCAATATTATCAATACATCTTCTACTCATGAACATTCTGAAGCTTTCAATAAAACAATTGGGCAGTAGTGGACCTAGGGTGTGTTGATAAAATGGTTGGCTTTTTATATTTCTGCAGAACTCTGCCAACCACAGTTGCGACTTAGGATATGATATGGAAAACTCTGTGTCAAAAACTAAATGTCCAGTTGATGCTGGATCCATGTGATTACCATTATCAAGAGCCTTCACACCCCAAATCCACCTTAAAGGCATTTTACTACCAATTCCTAAATCTTTGCCAAATCTTTCAAACAGAAATTTCTCTCTATATTCCATATCATACTTTTCAAAAGGATGGGATGTCTGAAACAGCTGAAACTGTCTTGTATCTGGTAATTTAAGTCCAGGGTTGTAAAAAACTACAACAACACTACCAACTCCTATAGCACCCAAAATTACTACAATACCTATGTATGATTTTGTTACAAATGCTATAATAAATCTATTCAATACAACTCTGATATCTCCTCCAATTTCATCTATAGTTTTATAAATCACAATATTCCATGGCTTTTTACTTGTCGAGTACAATTTTACATCTAATATAAACACGGATACTGGCAACCAACTTATCATAAGAAAAAAATTAACTAACACTGCGGTACCAGCGAATACACTGAAACAATTTATAGCTGGTATATAGCTGACGTATGACGCATAAAATGCAACAGCCGTTGTTAATGTAGTAATAAACATTGTAAGAATAGAATGTTTTAAAGTCTCCTCAAGTATCTGTATGAGAATAGTTTCCCCAGCACTGGAAATATTTTTTATTTCCATGAGTTCACTATCTTGGGGTACAATATTATCACGTATCAACTGACTGCTGATCATCTTCCATATTTTGACGTAAAGGAATGCATCATCAGCTCCAATACCTATCACAACAACTATCACTAATAAATTCATGAAGGGAAAGAATTCTAAATTGAATACGTAAATATATAAGAAGTATGCAACACCGAGTGTGTATGTTATAGCTATGAACAATAGTACAGTCAATACAATAGATTTTGTATAAACCCATACACATATAAATACAAATATTCCCCCCAATCCTATCAACCATGTATCCTGTATTATCCATGAATCAAAAAGTGCATTCTTCAATCCAAAATCCATGGCAGGAATTCTCAATGTATCATAAGATAAATTTGAACTTTGCAATTTTTGATAATACGGAAGAGCAGTACTACTGCATGCAAGTGGAAGAAAGACCATAACATTTTTCACAAATGTATTATTAAACAGAGGTGGAGAGAAAGCATCATCATCTATTAGATAAAATAATAAATTATATACAGCATCATACTGTGAACAATACTTAGGTACCCTACATTGATTTAATTCACATGATGCCATTAATTTGAAGTCATGAAAATAACTGGCACATTTCTTTATAATTACAACTGCATTCGTAACATCATCTTTTGTAATATTTTCACAAGAAATCTTGCCTGACATTAAAGCTATATAATTTGGAACACTCCATACTGGACAGCACATGTCCTCATCTTGCATAGATCTTTGACATAACTTATAATATTCTTTACCACCTACTTGAACTAGAAGAGATTGTAAATTACATAGTTTTTGAACATTTTCAAAGTCTAACATTGATGAATTTTCAGTGTTAGTAACTACTAAATGAGCATAATCAGAAACAGGAGCTCCACACATACCGGTTGCATAATTGTGATGAATCTTGTCAGGAGTGCGCTGCATAGATTTTAAAGATACCCACTGTTTCCTTGTATGATTTTTCAACATTTCTACATTCTCATCTTCATAAGAAACATTTTTTCCAAATCCCCAATGAACATGACCATTTTCTGTGTTCTGTATAGTAGAATTATTAGATTCGATTTTGTTTTCAATACCAGTAGAATAGAATTTTGGTTTCTTCTTTTTGTGACCTTTATTCTTATTTCTTTCACGATTTATTTTTCCTTTATTCTGAATTCGGTTGTGATAGGTATGGTTCATACGTTTTTGATCGGCTATTTCTTTAGGGTTAACTGCGAGCCGTTTAGATGGCCTTGTTTCGTCGATGAGATTTTCCCAAGCAATAAAGCGACGTGCCAATAATGTTCCTCTGGTTTCGAATCCTACAATGGGATCCGAAAATGACGGCAACTCATGACATATCAAAGGAATCACAGTTAAAATTGTTAAAATAACAATTATTACAAACATATAAAGGTACGAGTAACGAACAATAAACCTGGCATAAAGTGTCAACATTTTTGTGCAGCGATTCCGTAGAACTCATAATTACTTCTCAAGTCATTCTTCTGGATTAGTGAGACTGGTACGTTCTATTAAAATAAACGGAAAATATGTTTCAAATCTATCTACATTTTTGTCATTACATTCAATAACTTCTGCAAATCGGAATGTTTTTATGGTGAGAAAAACAATGACGCATTTGTTCTATTGTCTATTGTCATCATAGATTCAAAGGTCTGTCAGGGATCAGCTGTCCAAAAAACAGATAATAAATTAAAAGTGGAAGAGATTTTTACGATATTCATCAATTTTATATCTGAAAAGCCAATGATATTTAATTGTAAATTTGGGTAAATTAGTAAACTCTGAGTTGGAAAAAAATACAGAATCTTTCGAGTATCGGTCATTGATTTTGCTGTAAATAAGAACTGGGTCATTGTAATACCTCTCGGCAAGTTTATTTCCACCCTTTCGCAACATAAGCTTGCTTTCAAAAAGAACATTTAAAACTATTAGAAGCTCAATATAAGTTTTTTCGTTCCTGATTATGTCACGAGGAGAGAAATAATCAAAGATTTAAATAGAGTTTTTAGTCTTTTAATTTTTTACATACGGCAATAATTTCTTTGTCTTTGGACTCTTGTGATCACAAGACTTCTTCGTTTTGAGTTTTCTGTCAAGGCAGTAATTGGAGAAAAAAAAGGCCGTCCCTTTTGGGATCTTCTGGTTCAGCAGCTCCAATTGACTCAAAATCATCCAAGATGAGGTACTTCTTAACGTATTTGCTGGTGCTCCTTGTGGCAATTGTCATTCCGATATTTTCTATGTACTATGTCCTGAATGGAAAAGGTGAGCAAATCAGTTTCGGATGGTTCCTGGAGAACACGTCCCCATACATGTGGGGTACGTTGGGAATAGCTTTTGCAGTAGCATTTTCCGTGGTGGGCGCGGCTATGGGCATCCATACGACGGGAGTGAGCATAGTCGGAGGAGGTGTCAAAGCTCCGCGTATCAAGACTAAGAATTTGATCTCCGTCATCTTTTGTGAAGCTGTGGCCATTTACGGTTTAATTACTGCAATCGTGTTGTCTGGAATGCTCGAGAAGTACACGGAACCCTTAACTGACTTAGCCATCAAGCAACAGAATTGGATGGCCGGATATGTGATGTTCGGTGCTGGGCTCGCCGTAGGTCTAGTGAACCTGTTCTGCGGTATCGCTGTGGGGATTGTGGGATCAGGAGCGGCCCTTTCGGATGCCGCCAATGCAGCTCTTTTTGTGAAGATCCTGATTGTAGAAATCTTCGGATCAGCCATTGGTCTTTTCGGCCTCATCGTCGGCATCTACATGACGTCAAAGGTTAAAATGGGTAACCAGTAATTCAAGAAACTTGAAGATAAGTGTAAGTTACATTTGATCTTACTTTTATACTTTAGAATAACTATTAGTACTTAAACTGACTTAAGACCTTTGTTTGACATTATTATGCTTTCAAAGTGAAGTTAGCAACCACCGCAAGATAATATCAGTCCCATTCACCTTAGATAGAGCCTCAGATGTGCTCCAAACTAGTTAGTGTCAATATCTGATTACTTTATCTATGTTACCCCTTTCTTCATATTTCTCATCATATTTATCTCAATTTCATTAAAGAAAATTTTGATTACATTTAATTTCATTACACTAATTATACATGGCACAATTAGTTAAACATCAATGAAAATTTTAGATGAAGGATTATGATTTTTGAAAAGAAGTAACAGTTGAGGTAGATTTTCAATTGAATCTATGTCTATGTTCAGTTTTGTTTATTTTATGAAAGCTTTTTTTTTGCCAAATTCAATAAAAAATATTACATAATCAAGATTCAATAATGTTATTTTCTTTCAATATGAAGTTCCTTAAATTAGATAATTGCGGTACTTAAAACCTTGATAAATCCTGTCTTTGATACTTATATGCTTCTTTTGAATGAAGTAACATTTTTAAGCAGTAAAAAAATTATAAATATTAATGTAAGGTTCTTGTCTTGGTCTTGTGGGAACCTACTGCTATTTCTCCCAACCCATATTTTTTTATATATCATTAGGTGGCAAACAAGGAACTGGCTGGCTGGTTAAGTATGGTACAGCTAAGCTGTGAGCCTCTATGTGGGGAAAAATAGATTAATTCAAATAATGGTACTGCCATTCTATGGGTACCTTAGGCCTTAGGCCTGTGGAAAAGCCCATTGGATTTAACAAATCCATACACTCTTTTCTACTAAACTACAATTTTGTTCAGTCATGTTAAGACACTGAATTGATTCATATTCAACTGAATTACTTAAAAAGATTGAAATGATAAAATTCATAGATGTAATTCTGCAAAGAAAACTGTCATTTGAAATACTCAGCATCACCATCTTGCCCTTATATGTTATGGAGGGTCAGCACAGCATGTGCTGCTCTTAGATACATTTCTAGCAGCCATCATATCTGAATCCACAAAAGCATATCATCTTTCACACAATCCATCCACACTTTCTTCCGTCTTCCTCTATCTTTGTAGCCTTTGTATTAAATACTATAGAATGAATTACATGATTTTTCTGTATGTTTCAGTGTACAGCACTGGACCATCCGGCCTTGACCTTCAATCTTAAATCTGTGACAGCCAGTGCTCAGCGCAAATATATCAAACATGTGTGAAGTTTTCTATGTTAAGTGTTGGACTCTTGTACTTCTTAATCAAAATATATTCTGTTGATGTTTTATAAATTTAAACGAGATTTATTTCTATAATTGAGAGACAACTGTTTTAATAATAATCTGATCTTAGCACTTTCTTTACTCAATTGTTTTTTTTTTCTTTTTAATTTAATGGTTTAATACCATATTTGTGTCATAAGTCTTGTGTTTTGTAAGTCTGTTTTCAAGTTGAATGAATTTAAACCACATAGGCTTGTTATGTTGGTTCACTTAAGGTAAATAATATCTGTAAGAAATTATTTTCCCTTTAATCATAGAGTTATTTTAAAAGATTGTTTTAGTTTTGTTCTCTAATTCATTATTGTGCTAAGATGTCAGATAGTGCATTGAACAGGTCTGTATTGTATTGGAGTGTTTTAGAATACTTTTAATCAATAGTTTGTGTTGTTATCCATTTTACAGTGTCCCGATGTAGATGTGACTAGATACTAATTGCATTCTAGCACTAATTTATCTATGTATTTATATATCTATACATAATTATAGTGTAAACATCAACATTTAGATATCTGTTAACTGCTGAACGGTAAGGTGCTCAAAATAGTTTAAAATTATGCAATGAAGTATCTAGTCATATTTTATAAGGCTTGAAACATTCCATGAAATCATACGATTTGTGAAAGCTTTGATTGGAACAGATAAACATTTTGTATATAGTTAACACTACTATATAATTAAATAAAAATAAATTACCCAATTTATCAGTTGTTGACTTTAGCTTACATGTTTTAAGAAGCTTAAAAATAACCTAGCAGTTTACGTTTTGAAATTCGTCGAGTGCATGTCGTAGTTTAGGATGTAATGGAGATTTTATCCCTTAGATCAAACAGATTTTCAATTCAAATGGCAAATTTACTTTGTCGATTTGTGTGTTATAAAACGAAATTTGCGACCCGTCTACGATTTTCGCGTCAAATCATTGGAAAATATTTGTATGAAATATTAAATGTTGTCCAATTGTAAATATTAGTTTGCTTCCTTGCACTATTATAAATCTTACTAATTTATTGTAAAATAATTATTATCCATTTTATGGGACGATGATGAAAGCCATATGATTATGGATTACGTTGTCTAGGCACAAATTGAGTGCAAACTTTTGCAAGAACAAGATATAAAAGTATTATAAGAGCATTATGTGTACCGTTTACAGATGCGATAATAATATATTTGTGCAAATGTAGATATTATGTATGTTGAATAAATAGCTAAAACTTGAAGGTGTTTTTATTTTTTTCCTTTCCCTAACTTTGGTTTCCGTTGATTTAGGGTAGGCAACGCATCCGCTTTCGCAAATCTATGGGCAGGGGTCACTTTGCCATTTTGATCGATTCAGGTGGCCGCTTACTTTGCCACCTTATAATATAAAAAAAAAAACTTTGGAAGTGAACGTTTCATAATACCTTACAGTCACATGAAAACGTCATGTGATCATGTAAATTGATGATGTAACAAGAATTATATACTACTAGCTTTCTTCCGCGTAGAATTAAAAAAATAAAACAAAAGTAAGTAGCCTATGTGTTCTTCCAGACTATCCTCTACATCTGTACTATCATCGAAATCGGTTCAGCCGTTTAGGCTACAAACTCTAACAAACATCCATCCATTTAAACTTTCGCATTTATGATATTAGTAAGATTAGATTTTGCCCGCGACTCGGTCCGCTCGGAAAAACAAATGAAAGTAGCATATGTGTTCAAGACTGTCCAAATTCTTCATCTATGTCGAATTTAATCCATATCCGTTCAGTGGTTTTCCTACAAACTAAGAAACATCCATCTGAACGTTCGCCTTGATAATATTAGTGTCTGTAGTAGGTATCTACCATTTTGTTTTTCTCTGCTGTATTTGTCTTTCCATTTTGCATTTTTAACATTACCAAAATAGGTAATTTTGAACCTTCTGTAAAGCTTTCTTTGTACTGTTTATCTAATCATGTGGTAATAACGATAAATAATACAACACGTATAATTTAGCAATAAAATATTTTATTTTCAATATAAAACACTTTAGATGTACAGCTATACTATACAATTCCAAAAAGAGGTACCTATCGAATTTATCACGAAGCGGAATGTATAATTTGAAATGAGCCAAAATTTACATTGAATTTTCTAAGCATATTTAAAACTTATTTACTAAATCGCCTAGTACGATATTCTGAGCAACCATATTTGACTGCAATAATTGCCATTGTGTTAATTTTTTAATTTCTCGGAATAAGTTTTTTAAAAAGATTAAAAATGAGGAGATTTTTTTTTTATTTCTTACAAAATTGTGCAGTATTTTTAAAACAATATGGCAATATTGGAAAGTATTGAGAAAGCCTTTAAGTTTGAGCTCTATAAACTAAAAAAAAAAACTATAAAGTGTAAAAATTCAGTTATATTTACAAAATAGGTGGACTCTTCGTTAAAACGCACAAAATGCACACAAACACACGTTTAAAATCAACTATTTACAATACTAATTATGAAAACTAACATTTCATATTCACATTCTATATTTCTTAAAGCAAACATTATCATTGAACATTGAATAATGCGTTATTCACTCGATAATTTGGTTTCTCTTATATAAAAATAAATTGTTTAACATCTTGCATTAATTTACTTTTACACAATAAAGCTATTAAATCGCTAAGGTTATTTACATGACTGCCTTTGGATGTCATTTCCCTAATGAATTACATTTAGTCTTTGCACAACACCCGGATTAAAGTGTAAAATGTGTCAGATACCATGAGTAAAACGTCATGAATTAAACTAAGTACTTGCTAGAGTACATTACTTTATATTTAAATTAATAGTAATAAATGCAACTGACAATTTATTAAGTTTACAAGGAGCATTAACTCGTTGATGGCTGAACGCCGCGTCCACCCAAAAACCAGATGAAATAATAAGTGGACGCTGCGTTGACGGGTATATTTAATTATCAAAATCTATTCTACTCTTGTTAAAAGTGAAAAATTAATATGATTTTTGTTCCCAAACAAATTCGATAAACAAAAGTTTGCTCTATCAATTGACATTATATGGAATGTTCAACGTTATTGTGTTTCAGAAACACCTCCACAGAAATATAGTTATGTTTTTCCCATAAGAATAAAAGAGATGACAATATGTTTCACGGGTGTTAATAATCAAAGTCCAGGTTACACATTTTGTATGGAAAATTATAAACCCTAGATTACAGTTAAAATTAAATCCATTTTAATCTTAAATCTATTTAAAGCATAGACAATAAATAGCCGTTATTTGCTACGCTATGGCAGTGGGTATTGAGTTGACAGTCTTTATAGAAATTCATACAAGCTATTTAGTTAGTATCCGAACTACAGTACAACGAAATTAAATAAATTAATTTAACTAATTGAGATTCATTGGAAATCTTGTACTATGATGTCTTCAAACTCGAGTTTCTGCGTCGTCTTCAGTAGTTGATTTCCTAGAACAGTTATCTGTGTTCATTTGTTGTACAACTTTATTTTGTAATATGTAGGAAATTAAATAAAACTAACTAAAGCGTTTTATTTGTATATTAATATTAACTGTAAAAAGTTACATTCTAACCTATAAACTATGACACACTATAGTTACGTTCAGAAACATTTTCATTTAGAGTTCGATAATAAAAGAGTGTAAAGATAAAAATGACCGTGAAATTCGTGACGTAAGATCGCGTGCACAGATGTTTAGTGCTAATAAATGTATCCGAACGTATTTAAAACATGTATCTTTATATATTTTAATATGTATTACATGCATAACATTAAATAAAAGTTTACCTCCTCCCTACGATGGTTGCAGATGATTTTGCGCACGGCAACACCACCAGTTAGCAAAGCAAAAGATGATTTATAATGAATTTTTCTCATATAACCGCCACCATCTATTAAGAATTTGTTACAAGTTATTAATATTGTGTCGACTGGACAATACAATTTTTGTATATTTTTAGAAACCAAGAACCAAGGTTTCTTGAGATGTGTAAACATACTAGTTAATTTATATTTGTTACCTACTAAAAAAGTTGTAGTTAGTATTGTTCTATCTTTTTTTAGCTTCCTTGTAAGTAAGAATAGACACAGTTAGTAAAAAAGCAAAAGAGTACACTATTTCATTGCAAATCATGGTTTAAAAATTTTAAATAAAAGACTAATAGGCGGTATTAAATAAAAATAATAGTAATTTTCTCAATAAATTAATCGATATTTAAATAGGAACATTTATATCTCAATGCATGTCAAGCCAATGTACTAATGAATGATGATTTTTTTGTTTTGATATTTTAAATCATGCAGAATGATAGAATTTTGAATAATCCATGCTTTAATGATTCTAGCCAACATAAAATGTAAATGTATAAAAATATGTAAAGAAAAGAAACTTACTCGCTGGTTTCTCCCATAGTTGCTAGTGGCGCCATCTGCTGTTGATTTTCACCTGAATGCAAACATAAATATGACGTAACAATACAAGTAAATAGTATTTTAATGAGACATCGTTAACATTACAACATTAATTAATAATTATCAACGATTAAAAACCTTTTTTAACTATGAAATATTGTTTTCAGGCACATTTATTATGTAAATACTAAGTTTCCCTCGCGACTCCGTAGCAATAGCAGTTTAGGCTACAAACTCTTACATGCACCCATCTAAACTTTCGCAACTATCTATACATATAATAAAATTTGGAGTGTCTGTTTTTTAAAATCAAAAGAAAAATTCCAGATTTGTAGAAGATGATGTATTTGCGATGGTATTAGCAATGAAAACGAAAAGCATTTAAAAATTTTTTGTCTGTCTGTCCGCAAGCCACGTTTGTTCCGGGCACGCTCCGAAACGACTTGGCCGATTTCGACCAGACTTTCACTAAAGGGTGGCAGACATGGACGGGCATATTATAGGCATTTTTTATCTTAATGTTGCGTAGATGAAGTCGAGGGCAACAGCTAGTTTATAATATTAGTAAGAAATAAGGTAATTATTTATATATAAGGTAATTTCATGTAATTTTTTTAGTTTTGACAGTTGTGAAAGCGTCCTTACCTGCGTGTGCGTTGGCGCGCGCGGCGAGCGCCCCCTCGCGCGTTCCTATGTGATCCTCCTCAGCTAGAGTAAAAATAGACAAGCGTGCTAAACTAAATATCATAAACAAAACGAAAAAGCATATTTGTTTTGAGAAATCACTTTATATATTCAGCAACTTATTAAAACAAAAAAATAAAAAAAAAACATATCGTCGAATTGAATACCTCCTTCTTTTGGGAAGTCGGTCAAAAAACGAAATACGAAATTAAAGTGAATAAAAAAATCAAACTAAAATAATTTAAAGCATTAAAACAATAATAATTGCAAAACAAAATTCACACTATTAGTACAAATTCATTGAAACTTACCCGTGTAAGGGAATAAATATTTATCGTGTGTAAGCTTATCCGATCCTTCCGACATTCTATCATTATAATCTCCACCATAATGGCTTTCCATTTTCCTTTGATAATCATTTTTCAACATAGTCGCTATCCCGGAGTCCCTAAAATCTCTCGAAGGGTAACCATCATGATCCCTTGTAGTCACTCCTGAGTCCCGGAAATCCCTCGAACCGTACACATTGGGGTCACCGTTCAAATACTTTGTAGGACTGTAGCCGTATTCTGAGGTTCTTGATGCGGGTAGATAGGTTTTGGAGCCGTAAGGGTTTTGTGGTAATCTGTACATTGTGGGTGACATGGGGTAGTTAGGGTCGTAAGGTATCTGTTTCTCTGTATCGTTAGGTAATACACCGTACATCAGTTCTTCGTCCATTACGCCATATCTAGAATGTAAGTTACTAAAATATTAAACGATAAATAATAAAGAAAGTTTTCTATAGCTAAATTACTGCTATTTGAGTAATTCTAATGATAACTGGTCACCAAAGCGACCAATTATGGTTGTTAAACAATAGTATCTTCCTATACAATGATATCTCTACTTATAATACTACTAGCATTCGCCAGCGAATCCCTCCACGCGGAATAAAAAAAACAAATGCAAGTAACTTATGTGTTCTTCCAGACTATCCTTTACATATATGCCAAATTTCATCGAAATCCGTTCAGCCGTTTAGCTACATATGCTAACAAACATCCATCCATCCATACATCCATTTAAACTTTCGCATTTATAACAGAGGTAGAGCCCGCTTTAACATCTTCGCACGAATGGGTCGGCTCGCCCGGTGTAATACCACGACCACACAGAAAACAGGCGTGAAGTGGAAGCAATTCCGCGTTTCGTCTGATGAGTGTGGTGCCGGAGGCCTAATTTTAGTCCCTTTTCCTTTCCACCCTTTTCTTAAGAGGGAAGGATTGAAAGGAAAAGTGGATTTGACGGTGGAGGAGTCGCATATAAAGTGGAAATGTCCTCTTTACGTGCGTCTCCTCCTCCGTCGATGAAGGGTAGGCAACGCATTTGTAATTGCAGATGTCTATGGGCAGCGGTCGCTTTCCATTTCGGTGGATTTAGGTGGCCGCTTGCTCGTTTGCCACCTTATATTATATAAAAAAAAGTATGAAGTATGATAAAGAGGAAAGATTTGTATTTTTTTTATATTGAAATAACTCGTAAACTAATGATCTGATTTAAATTTCACATGGACGAAGTTGCAAGCAACAGGTAGATTTTATATTTTTTACAGGACTCAGAAGCTATCGTATCGATACCTGATATTGTGTAGAGAGTGATTGTACCGACCTGTTGTCGAGCGGCAGTCGCGAGGCGTCGACGCTGGCGACGTAAGTGTCGTGCACGTTCTCCAGTATGGAGGGCTTGAGGCGGTGGCGGCCGAGGTACACGCCCGACGTGAGGTCGGGGGGCAATTGTGTGGGCAGGGGGTGGGGTAAGGGGTGAGGCAGAGGGTTGGGAGAAGGCGACGCCGCGCTCAGTGCATCCTGCTCCGAGCCCGTCTCCTGAGACCAGCGGCCCATGTCTGGACGGTTCCCTTCTGATGAAAAAAAATCAGATTAGTAATAGTAGTATAAAATAAGCCTCTAGAATTTTCTATATAAAGGTAAGAAGGGACCTTCTCTGCCATGCGGTGTCCAGCGCGGCGCGGAGGCGAGCGGCGCTCCTTCTGTGATGTTGGGGAGGTAGTTGCCGCCATTGCTGCTGCTGTTGCGCTCTCCTGTGGAAATTAAACTTTACTTAGGGACTGTCCCACCACTGGCTGATAGAGGCTCAGATAACTTAAAAATGACATCACTGTGAGATAAGGACAAAATCCGACATTTTCATCAAATATTTTACACGTTGGATTGTTATTGCATTTGTCGGGAATAATTTGCGACAAAATATAATACTTAGGGCCTGTTCAATCAATTTGTAAATTATGTGATAACTATCCAACGTGTAGAATATGTGATGGACAATTTTTTTTCAGATCAATTAAAACCTACAGAAGCTAAAAATTCTTTAACCAGTAGATAACGCTTCTATGAGCTAGTATCTTTGGAAAGTGTTTCGAGCAACTAATTTGTTAAGTTTGTAAGAATGTGTGTGACTGACTGTTGGCGGAGGGCGCGTGGCTGGAGCGGCGCGTGCTGGTCTCGTCGTCGTCGCTGGAGTGGCTGGAGGCGAGGTCGAGGCTGCGCGCGCTGTCGCTGTCGCTGTCCGTGCCCTCCGCGCCCCCCGCACCCCCCGCACCCCCAGCACCCGCCGCACCCCCTGCGCCCACACCGCCCCCCGCGCCCTCGCTCGCACGTTTGCGACGACGTCTTCCTTCATCTTTTGACAAAAACAATTGTTTAGAACATCTAGTCATCGATCAGTTCTTCTTGGAATATGTGGTAATTTCGATCAGTTCTTCTTGGAATATGTGGTAATTTCAATTTTCGACTACAGTAAGCTGCTGGACTCAGCATAACGTTACCATCTTTCCTGGTGTGCAGCGAGGAGTCGAAGCCCCTGAGGTATGCGGGCATGTCGCTGGCGCTCGTGTTGTAGTTGGACGTCGACGTGCTCGTGTGCCGTAGCTGGCCGTCGCTACGACTGCAACGAAAGGCCAATTAAAGTTATCTATACAGAAGCCGATCAAACAGAATTATCTGAATATATCGAAATTACGGTAAAGAAATATTCATATATAATTTAACTCATTATCATGTAACTGCAAAAAATACAGGACTTCATTTAAATGTGATAGATAAATACATAGTTACAAATGTACTATATTGTTACCTATAAGGGCTGGAGCTTGTTTTAGTAGTGGAGCGCGAGGTTGTGGAGGAGGCAGATATGCCGATGTTGCGCAGCTGCCGGCCCGGCTCCCCGCTGTGGTATGCCAGAGCTGACCTAAATAATAAAAAAAAACAAAACGTAAGTCATCTTATGTAGTATATCGCTGAAACATTAAAAAATTGACTTGTGTAAATTAATACCTGTTTGCTTGAGAGAGGTTCGCAGCGCTGGAGCTGACTATAATGGACGTGTCAGCAAGGGGAACCTTCTTGCCCAAGCATCTGAGGACAGTCCTGGAAGAATAGTTTTACTTTATCATTTTGCTATAACACATAATTACTTAAGGATTTTTTTTGTCAGTATGAAGCTTTTAAGAAAAGAAGTTCAGTGAGCCCCTGTTTCGTAATGAAGAAATTTGATATACACGTTTTTATTCAATGATTGTCAGATTTGTGTAAGGCGGTAAGGCATATGGTGTAAGGTGTGAGTGCGAGTGGTGCGAGTTGTGTGGTGGTGCGAGTGTTGTCGTGGTGTGGCGTACCTGCGCAGGTTGTCGCGCACGCGCACGTTGAGCAGCAGGTGGCCGAGCGCGGCGGCGGCGGCGTGCAGCGTGACAGCGGCGGCCAGCAGCGAGCTGAGCGCGTTACGGCGCGCGCCCGCCTCGCTGCCCAGCACCAGCGCGCTCGCCCATGACACGCACAGCAGCGGCAGGCAGATTATACTGATTGCTAGCAGCATCCTGACACACGTGCACACTTATTACACTATTACACTCTTTCCATAATCAGTGTATTAGAGAAAGTTTGAGAGTAGTCTCAGGGGTACTTCTTACTTGACATTGATTGATTGACGAAAACAAGTGATCGGATGATCTGTAGTGTTAAATTCTTCTCAGAACTTTGTACTACACGTCGAGATACAATATGTAACGAATGATATTAGAAGGATTGAGATCATGTATGATGTTGATGGTTACCGTAAGTTGCCAAATCCGGTAACGTGATCTCGGACGGTGAAGGCAGCGCGCGTGGCGCCCGCGAGGAATACCACGGCGACGGCGGCGTACACTGCGGCCGGCACCACCACCCACCATACCACCGGCTCGTGGCAACTCACCCAGCAACTGGACATGGATAGAACAAAACTTTAGTAGTACACACTATTTTGAGAGCACCGTGTGGGTGTCGCGATGACTTACAAGAGCGCGTTGCCGTACTGGTGCGGGGTGTGGGCGGCGGCGAGCGCGAGCGCGACTGCGGGCGCGGCGTAGGCGGCGGCGAGCGGCGCGGCCAGCCCGCCGTGGTTGACGTCGCGCAGCTCGCGCAGCAGCCGCCGCAGCTGCCACGCCTCGCAGCCCGCCCAGCCCAGCGCCGCCAGCCACCAATAGTGCAGTGACATCGCTATAACCTTGCAGCCGAACTGAACACACACAAATATGCTCAAGTACACTACCCGTTGTCTATTAGCATTCGTTAAACGACCAGAACGCTCTCCCTCTATGTAGATTTGATCAGATATACAAATTAAAAGACTACTTAACTAATAAAGCTTACCTCGTTTTGCACCAAAGAGTTTCTAGCTTTGAGCGCGATAAGATAGAGAAGTTCTGCCATAAAGACACAGAATATGAGATGCTTGTGTATGGAATTGGAGACGGTGGCGGCGCCGCCCCGCATCAGGCACAGCGCCGTCCACGTCACCAGCAGCAGCGGCAGGGAGATGCTGAACGCCGTGTATGAAGTAACAGACTCCAGTAGAGACGGCTCCGGTATCAACTGGTAATCAAAGGTAACAATGAACGTAATTTAGAACTAATACAAGCAACTGTCAAGCATTTCTCAGCAATAATATATGCTGCACATTTATACGAACCTCAATGTCAACTTCATCGACCAACACAGCGAAGGTCGATAGATGATTGCACGTGCAGTTAATGCGTAGAGGTTCATCGGAGTAAGGCGACCAGTCGTAATCTATTTCAGTATGACAGCCAACACGGGACCATTCACCAGACCTAAGTAATTGAAAAGGAATTAAAACCTGAAACATTTCAATAAAGCAGACTTAATTGTTACGAAATAAAAGAAATTTACCCTCTCAACGTCGACCAATGAACGCATTGCGGATTAGTTCTGGAGCCAAACGTTTCTCTATTTATATCCAACCATAACTGCAATCTGATAGGTTTCTTCAACCTAATACCGCTCAGACTTTTATAGACCAGCCTCTTTTTATCCACCTCTTTGGTAGAATTAATTCCATCTTTGGTTTTATCGTTGGGTTCCATAACAAGAGCCATAACTTTTAGACCATCACTGTCGATTTTAATAGCCTTTTCGCTGCCGTATGTAGAATTGCTTTCTTTTAAATTTTCCGTGTCTTCAGTTTTATCTTGCCTTTTGAAGGCTGGTTGAATTACAATCGGTCCATGATTTTCGTTGTTATCGTCTTCGTTAGATTGTGACCAGGGATTTCTTGTTTGTGGGTTTGATCCAATGTTGTTTGCTTGCGATTGATGATTATGACCTTTATTAGCGTAGACAATACCTAAAATATTTACAAGATAAAGCTGAACAATTATGGATAAACGTTTTATTTTCACACCATTTGTCCGGTGATTTTGGAACTCCTATGGGACATAAGCTGGAATCTCACCTGCAACATCATTAATGTGAAGACTGTCGTTGTCACTGGCCTCCCTCCTCCAGACGTGTTCAGGTACGAAGAGCGCGAGCTGCAGCACGGGCGAGCCGAGCGTCACGTTGACGCCCCAGCGCCGGCTCACTGAGTCGTCAGTGCGCAGCGGCAGGAGCTGGGAGGAGTTGCGCGAGTACTGCATGTATGCGAATACAGCACGGGACTCGTATACTGATACTATGTTTTCTGTTTTGTAAGAAATAAATACAAATGAGAGGTAAAATACGATTTAATTATTTAAAAAAATACACTTTTGAGTTATTTGTGTTGATAAATTCAACTGACCTTCTGTATTACTGTTAATTCCAAGCAGATCCAGCGGCAGAAGTACCCTCGAATATTTATCAAATTTGTTTTTATTTTTCACATAGTTATTATATTTTGGGAATGACACGGTCGGACTGGATGGTTTCTTTGTTTTGGTTTTGCCGTTGTTATAGTAGCCGGCTTGTATTGGGGAATGTATGAATGCAGAAGTATCGGGTAGTACCACACGCTCAGTTGTCATGGTTTCTCCGCTATAGCGGTTTAATTGTGTAGGTTCGAAACCATATATCGATTCTGCTGTTACAATATCCACTCCAATGACTGTAATTACAAATAGAACAGTTAAGAATCATCTTTAAAAATGATGGTTAGTTGAAAATAAAGTATTTTACATACCCAAATCACTGGTGACGATTTCAAAGGGGCTTGTATAAGTATCATGCTGACTTTCCGCGAGTACTGATATGTATTTGTCGAACTTTTGCAGCAGATGTTCAGCGCCGTGGCCTGTCAGCTTCCTAATGCGTTGCCATTCTTTCTCATATTCCATGTTCAGTATTGTGTTTGCCGATTTGATTATGTTCTGTAGATGAAATAAAATTTTACAATTGGACTTTTTTTCCAATAAGCTGTCTTGTGCCACGCTTCGAACTCGTAGATGCATAATATTCAGAGTGATGCAATTAGAATTTGAAATTGTAAGATTCATAGCTGTCATTACAAAATATATCCTCTTAGCTTGGAATTCTCGTACTCAATATTCAAAATGTGTATAGAGGATAAATGTATTTCTTAGTTAACAGTTTTCAGAATCTCCACGCTCTCCATTACACGCCTGTTTTGTGTGGTCGTGGTATTGCTGGGGGCAAGCCGACCCTACAGTGCTATGATGTTAAAGCGGGTTCTACTAGGCGAGTTGAATCTACATAACTGACCCTGACGTAATCCTTGTCCTGGCTGTGTGTGAGGTTAAGGCCGGCCTGGCGCAGCTCATGGCGCAGCAGCTCCAGCAGCAGCCCCTCAGCGACGAGCACGTCAGCGCCGAACAGCCGCGACGTGCGCGCGCACGCGGACCACACCTCCTCCGCGAGACGCACGCCCACGAACGTGTTCACAGTCAGCTCGCCCGTCTCTATCTTGTGTAGCTAGACATTGGTATAAGTGGGATTCTTACCTATCTGTTGTTGATGTACAAAACAAGAGAGTTTTAAATGGTATATTTACCTGTTTTCGAAGCTGATAAAAAGTTTCAGTTGTACAGTTGAACATGTCAGGCTCCTGCCACGGCACCACTTGCACCTCGTCACACATACGCGTCGCTCTTCCGCTAGACCCTGCACGGTTAAAAAGACAATTATTTGTGTAATAAATTAAGAGCGTTGTACTGAGTCGATGTGCCATAAATTGAGACTCTAGGCTGTGACTTCGAACTATAAATAGTTCGAAGTCACAGTAGAATAATACATTTTATAAGGTTTACCTGTTGGACAATCAGTAATAGCTTCTACTCCAAACTTGGTTCGTGGCCACCAAACTCCATTCGAAAACGATCGAGGACATCCATCATAAATAACTGAAAATGTTAAAAAGTGACATTGGAAAAACAAAAGAATTTCGACCAATTTTTTAATGAAAACTATGTTAGGGAAGTACCTTTGCAGCCAGCATTGGGCGTGACCTCGGCGTACAGATTGGAGCAGGAGTCGCAGGCGCGGCCGATAACGCCGCTGCGGCAGTGGCACTGCCCGCTGCTGTCTTCGCACGAGCTGTTGAGCGAGCCAGCTGCGTAGCACTGGCATGCCACGCAGCCCTCGCCCTCCGGGGACTTGTAGTGGTTCTCCTAAGAACACGTATGTATCGAGATGAATTTGGAACAGAAGTTTAATGCCATTAATGCAACTTGTTACTAGTCTACAAACGTACAGAAAAAGTTCAAGTCCAAACCTGTAAATCCGTGTACATACCTTGCATCGGCAGCGGCCGTCTTTAGCGGCGCAGTGCGGGTGGAAGCCGCGCGCCGAGTCGCAGTCGCACGGCCCGCAGCCCGTCACACCCCACCATCCGCCGGGACACTCCTCCTCGCGATGCTCCACACACCCCTCCGCTATTTGAGAAAACAAGTATATGTAAGGAAACAAAATCTAAAATAAAAAGATAGGAGTACTTAAATGCTAGGAAGAAACTAAATCTCATATTTCGCGGAACTAACCTGTCATAATGTACCCCTGTGCGCACTTGCAGCTGTAGCCCCTGTGCGAGTCGTCGGGCAGGCAGACGGCGTGCGCGCCGCACGGCCGCAGCTCGCACGCCGCCGCGCAGCCCGGCCCCACGCGCCCGCGCTCGCACACGCACTGCGTGCTGTCCCACTCTGACTCGCATTTACTCTACGCAGGAAGGAAAGGGACAGTTATATTAAAATCATTTATAACTGTAAATAAAACGCAATCGGTTAAGAGTTAATACATACATAAGGTGGACAGATCGAAAGCAAACAATCTGCCTTCGACTGACATCCGTCTCGAACATTTTCTCTGACAGTTGGCCGGTTGAGTAGAGACTGTGCGGTGCCCACTCGAACGTCCTGATTACATTTGAATGTTTGTAATATCACAAACATTATAGATCAAAATTAAGGAAAACAATTTTCCAATGTACTAACTTGAATACACCCTTCAAAGTATCCAACTTCTGATGCCAACAATCCCGCTGTAGTATCAGGACCGCCGATGAGAATCTTGCCGATGTATTGTCCTTGTATCTTGTTGGCCAACATCGGCAGCAGCGCGCTCTTCAGCCCGTAGTCGATAACGACCGATATGTCGGTGCCCAGCCATTTGATTTCTACTCGATGCCAGTTGCCATCAGCGAGGTTAGTCGATGGTAGGAACATCGTTTCTCCGCTATACGAATAGTGCAGGAGTCCCGATTTAAGCTGTAATAAAAAAAAAACATATTGACCGAAGAAGTCTTTTAATAGTCTGACAAATATATTTTAAGTACTTACACTAATAAATACGCTGCTATTCTGTCCGACTTGTACGGACATAAGGAAGGCGTCATGTTGCCGCGTGCGCAGACTGAGGGCATTCAGCCAAGGTAGCTGGATGGGCCGCAGGAGAGGGTTGAACGACAACATTCCATCGCCACTGAACCGCCATGGCGCAGACGTTGCTAATTGTATAAGAAACAAAGATTAAAGAACCGTCAAGACAAACTACAGTGTCACATTTGTTTATACTTACTCTCAGAGCAGTCATGTCCCGAGTAGCCCTCGGGGCAGTCGCAGAGGAAGGAGTCCCAGAGGTCTGTGCAGTTGGCGGCGCGGTGGCACGGCGCGGAGCTGCACCGCGACCGCTTCTGCGGGCAACCAGCTAGTGTGCCGTTGTCCGACACGTAGCTGTGTACACAATGTCAAATACACTCCTTTTCCACTAAGCTAATAATCTTATCTTACTAATATTATAAATGCAAAAGGTTAATTGAAGGACATTTGTTATAGATGTAGAAGATAGTCTGAAAGAATTCATAGGCTACTTATTATTAGGTTTTTTAATTCCAAGCTAGTAAAGTTATAATAATATTTAGTTAGTTACTAACCTGTTAAGATCTAGAAATTTATGGTCGATATACACATCGGATATGCAGCCAACAAAATCCTTGTTCTTGACTTGGAAGCTTGTTGGGATGTTCGGTAGACCGCCAATTTGTAGAGGTCCGGTCAAATCAAGAAATCTGCGATAACGAAAATGACTATATCTTATTGCTTTTAAATACTGCACCAGGTATATTTAAATAACATTATTATGATTTCTGTATTGTTTTACCTGTGACAGGTTTCAGTGGGGACATCGCATCGCGGTGGTAATTCTTTCCTTGTGAAGTTCGCGCATGCGTATTTTATTCCGAATTCGTTCGCGCCAGCCAACGATAAATCTTTATCACAGTCATCTACTATCATAGTTGCAGTCTGAAAAATGACATTTATTAATAGTACTGACAAATATTAACTATTTTACGTATGATTGATTATCGATTAAAATTCTCATTAGTATAAACTACCACGATCACGTCAGCTAAAAGAAGGTAAGAACGATTTTAGGTGAAAAACATGCAATGTAAGTTTTGAATTTCCGCAGTGGAATCCCAGACTTACCCTATTATAATACTGTATCTCCACCGTGTGCCAGGCGCCGTCGGAGACGTGCGCGGCGACGGAGACCTCAGTCCTGGCGCCGCCCAGCGCGAAGGAGAAGCGCAGCCCCTCCCCGCCCGCGCGCCCCGCCCCGCCCCCCACCGTCTCCAGCGATACGAAGTCGTGTCGCTCGTTGTACCGCCCGTTGTACATCAGAAGACCAGATGGAGATGTGGTTGCGAATCTGTAGGATTTGGTCTTTTAGATCACTTACAGCTAGAGCGTCAGAAGGTCAGGGGTTCAAGCACTTGACTTGTAATCTACAGGTCTTGAGTTTAAATCGCATCATGTATAAATGTGATTGATATGTGTAAAGACCAACCCGCAGTGGGCCAGCGACTGTAGCCTAGTCACCCCTAAGGGTCGGATCCGAATTCTTTAGTCAGGACGTATAGTGAGCTGGTGATGATAACTAGATTTATCTATGAAGATGAATGATTCCAAATGTACTTACTTTAATTTAAAATTAAATCTGTGCCTTCTTTTCAGGCCAGGAAACGTCAGAAAAGAAGATGTGGGGAAACTCCTAGCTCTTAGTTCACACATAGCTGTTGTATACTCCGCGTCGATCGTACACCCCTGACACAAGATGCCGCCCTCCCGGCGCGCCACGCACTGCGACCCGCTGCGGCACATTGTACCGTCACCGTTCAGGTCGCATGTCGCCTTTTTTAAAACTGTCTCACAGTTCGTTCCTGTAAAGATACTGTAGTATAGATGCGTGGAATAAATAATGAAACGTCCATTTACTTTGACGGTTAATTTATTACTGACTGTTAAGTGTGCAGCAGATACATTGATATCCAGCTCAAAGGGCCAATACATTCAAAAGTTTTATTACTAAGAAAATTAAAGCTGTAAATTGTCAATTTGAAGGCAATTTTAGCTTAGTTGCTAAAAATGGAACTTAGCGACAGATGTAGTTGTTTATGTTAATTATATATTTAGTAATACATACCGGTAAATCCAGGCGCACATACACAAGTGTATCCTCCTTCTCGGCGTATACATGTACCGTTGTTAACACACGGCGAGGAATAGCACAAATCAACTTCTGTGTCGCATAAAAAGTGTTCTCGCAGACCTATAAAACATACAATACAGTAATTCCAATTGATAGCAATAAAATAAAATAATTACATTCATTAAAAAATGTTGATTTTATTATTTTGTTAGTGATTTCTAGCTTCAAGCAATCACCTGAAAATCTTTTTTTAAAACTGGATTTTGGTTTAATACCGGCCACTAGATGGGGCTAATAAAGTGGGCGCAACATTTATATAGTAATTACATTATTTTAAAAGACAAAACGATAGTTATTTAAAATAGTAACGTAATTTACAATCATTTTTATGTTAACACCGGCAACAGATAATCCACCAAAATAAGACAATTTAAAAAAAATTATAAAAAAGCAAAGGATTTTTGGCACAAAACAAAAGAAAGTGCGAGATGTGATACGAAAGAAGAAATAACGTAATTGTGCGCTCATGTACTCACACTAATATTATAAGTGCGAAAGTTTATATGGATAAATGTTTATTAGAGTTTGTAGCCTAAACTGCTGAACGGATCTCGATGAAAAGAACACATAAGCTATTCAATTTTGTTTATTTTTTAAGCGGAAGGAGACGCGGGTGAAAGCTTTATAATTTATACAAATAAAACGTACCTGTAAATCCTTGCGGACATTGACAAGTGAATGTGGTGACAGGATAGATGGGCCTGAACAACACACTGTCGCTGGTGATGAAGCCGGACGCGTTGCCGAACTTCAGCACGGTGAGACACTCCTCGAAGTTAAGGCACGGCTCGTGGATGCATACGTTGTCGTCGAATGGTAACACCTACAGTAAAATAAACGAATCTTTAACACGGGAAAAGTTTCTAGTGGTATCTTAGTAAGTGTCGGTGGCTAAGGGGTTTGAGCACTTGACCTGTAAGGTAGGCAACGCATCTGCAATTGCAAATGTCTGTGGGCAGTGGTCGCTTTCCATTTCGGTGGATTCAGGTGGCCGCGTGCTCGTTTGCCACCTTATGTTATAAAAAAAAATCCACAGGTCCTGGATTCGAATATTGGCATGTACCAATGAGATTGTTGATTTTTAGAATTTCATGTGTACATAATTTACTCGACGTTCTTACGGTAAAGAAAAACATGGTGATGAAAACCTAAAAAAGAAATTTAAAGATATTTGTGAAGTCGACCCTAAGCTGAGACGTATGGTTAGCTGGTGAAGGAACAGAATTATATTATTTACCTGTACTGTAGCTAGCCTGGCGAGGGTGGCGCGGTTGAGGTAAAGCCTCTCCCGCAGGTGCGTGGGCGAGTAAAACTCCGCTGCGTCGCTCGCCGCGCCTAGCTCTGCCTCCGGCCGCCGCGCGGAGAACGACACGTTCAGGATGTTTCCCGTCACATCGGTATCGTCCTGATTTGTAAAAAACATGATGGTATTTAACATGGGAAACATCGCGGAAAACTGTCTTTAATAGCTTGTTTGAAATTTGTGAAATGATAATAATTTAAGTACGGTTGTTCGAGAAAAGCATCTAAGGATATCTCCATTATCTGCAATAGTTGGCAAAAAACTAATTGTTTCTACTGATATATTTTTTAAATAAGTAACCTGCACACTGAAGACATAGATATTCTCCTTGGGGCAGGGCACGATGGCCGCCAGACCGTCGATGAAGAATCCGAGCAGCGGCGACAGGAACTGTTCCGCCGTCATGTCGTTCAGCCGCACGGTGATGGAGTTGAACAGCATCTCCTCGGTGATTAGCCGCACTGACAGCTGCATCATCGCTTTGATTTCGTTCACGCCATCTGCAAGTGAAAAAGTAAAATTTTTCACATCTGACTTGATATGTAAGCTAAAAGTTGCTCACAATGATAATTTTATTTTGACGTGGTGATTAAAAATGAGTGTATTGTAGTGTCTATTTGTGTAGTTACCTGTAACTGATATCTCCATTGTAGCCAATTTAGGGACGTTTGTATTGAGTTGCGGCGACAGTGTCATGGCGCCGGTTGTTTCGTTCAATAGAACAAGGTTTGCGTTGTTCCCGGATAGAATTCGATATTGAAGCTGCAATGTCAAGAACAAATTAAAAATATGAATTTTACTTGAGAAAAACAATAATGTCTAGGTGCTTTATCAGACGCAAAATTATTAGGATTATTAAAGAGACGAGTTTCATTTACTCTGTTTTCTTTTCGACTTACTTTATCAGAAACATCGGCATCATAAGCGGGCACTCTACCGAATGGTCCCACAGGAAAACAGTCCTTAAAGTTATTGAAAATGATCTGAAAGTCCTTCATCATTGGCGCGTTGTCGTTCACATCAGTCACCAACACTTCCACTCTGACGTCATTCCAGAGCGGCGGGCTGGCCGCGCGGATGACCAATTCGTATTTCTTTCTCGGACTTTCATAATCTAAATCCACCATCGTAACTAGCTCCGCTTTATCTGACCCTTGACGTGTTTCTAATGAGAAACTGTTTGAATCATCACCACCTGAACGAGAAAAATACTTTTATTAAAGTATCTATTGGGATTTGTTAAGAAATTTTAAAGCTCTTTTACTAATAAAGCATTTGTAAAAGAACTTACAGTCCATATAGTCCCTGTGGTTTTGTGCTATTAACAAAATAATCAAAACAGTAAAAATGTGTGTTTAAATTATAAAGAGAAAATTAAACAAGAAGAAAGTGTTTTAACAATTTAAACAAACTCGCTTAGAAGTGATAAGTCATATTTTATATACAGTGTTTGAATGTTTCTACTACTACAGTGCTTTTAAGTGCGTGTTAGGGACTCTTCGATGTAACCAAGTAAGAAGTAATAGTTACCTTTAATAGAATAATGTATAACAGCATTTGCTCCTTCGTCAGGATCATGGGCTCTTATTTCTCCGACAGTAGTCCCTATAGGACTATTCTCTGGTATATAGAATGTAAGGCAGTCACTTTCAAACACAGGAGGAGAGTCATTTATGTCTTCTACTTTTATGTGGATCACAACCTGTGAATTTTAATATGTTTAAAGAATCATCAGTATAAAGAGCTTGAAGACATAAAAACACAGACCCAATCTACAAGAGGAAGTGACAAAGCAATTTAATAAAGTTAGAAGAATAATACATTATGGAGAAAAGTCCACGTGTGTTCCTACCAGTGATTCGTAAAGCAACCTATGAAGAAGATTGATTTTTATAATTATTTTGATGATGGTGCGGAAGAATGATGCTGTGGAAGTGGATTAGTACATCAAGAAGGTGAAATACAGACACAGAGAGAGAGATAGAAATACTAACACTGGAGCTCTGCGGTGGGGTACCACCATCGATCGCGAGGGCCTTGAGGTCGTAGATAGCTACAGACTCTCTATCCAGCGGCTTGTTAGTGCGCAATACGCCGGACGCTGCGTCCAGTGCAAAAGACCCTTCCTCACGTTCGCGCGTCGCCAGCTCGTAGTGCACGCGCCCGTTCAGACCCACGTCCGCGTCTGACGCACTCACCTGCGTCACTGACGTACCTGCCAAAATAATGCAGAATTATTTGAATTACTGCACATTCAAACATTCAGGCGCAATTTTTCGTTACTTGGAACTATTACATAATAATCAATTTCATACCAACTAGAGCATCCTCCATAATGCTAGAAGTGTACAATTGTTGTTTAAACACTGGCGCGTTGTCGTTGACGTCTACAACTGATATCTCGACATCAGTTGTGTCAGAAAGAGAAGGAACACCACCGTCTCGAGCCGTCACCGTCAGAAGATACCCTGGAAAGAAGTAATATTTTATGAAACACTAGCTTTCGCCCTCAACTCCGTCCGCGCGGAATTAAAAAAAAAACTTAGTAAGTAGTCTATGTGTTCTACCAGAGTATGTACTACAAATCCATTGAGGTCCATTCAGCCGTTTAGGATATAAAGTCCAACATACATCTATCCATCCAAACTAGTTTTGTTATTGAAATGACATTTATATGTACTTACCACTCATAGTCTCCCTGTCAAGCAGCTTGTTGGTGGTAATAGCTCCAGTGTGAGGGTTGATGAGGAATTCCCGGTCGTGATGCGCGACCGCCTCGTTGGAGATCTCCGAGCTGAGGCTGTACGTGATCTGCGCGTTCACGCCAACGTCGCTGTCTGTCGCCGACACAACCAATACTGTCGTGCCTACTGGCGCGTCTTCGAATACCTGGTGATGTTTGAAATATTTTGTGTTTGATCGTATGGAGAGAACCACTATGTGAAATGCAAATTAAGATTCTGAAAACAAAATTGAGAAGTAAGATTCGTTTCGTTGTATTTTTTAGTTACGAAATTACTTTACTGGGTTCTTTCTAAGTTTCTTCTAAAGAAATAAATTCCTAAAGAAATGAATGACAATTATAAAAAACTTACGAAATTACATTATCAGGATGTTTCTCCTAAAGAAATAAATTTTGGCAAATGACGATTATCAAAAAATTGTTTCCCTTTTCAGATAGAATGAAAGTTGTACATAGTATGTGTGCACTTATAGATTTTATTTACAAAGTTACTCACCGAAGCAGTGTAGGGTGCATTCTCAAAGACCGGTGCGTAGTTGTTAGCGTCAGTGATGTTGATGTGCACCATGGCGGTGTCGGCGCGGCCGCCGGAGTCAGTGGCGGTGACGGTGAGGACGTAGCGCCGCTCCTGCTTGAAGTCGAGCGGCTGCGCCACCGTGATCAAACCACGACCGTTCTGAGACGTGATGGAGAAACGACCGCGTGTGTTCCCACCCGTGATCTCGTAATGCAACCTATAAAGAAGACATTTTAGAGCTTGTCGTTGTTTTTATAATTATTTTAATGATGCTGTGACGATGGTTAGGCTTAGTCTACTTTTATAACGTGAATGGAAAATGGTTACAAAAATTAAAAAAAATATAGTGATCTTTAATTTACTACTTTTGCATTTGTATTATGTTAAGTAAAGGAAATCTCGCTCTGGAGAACGTATTCACCTATTATCCTCATCGGCATCAGTCGCGGTTACAGTAACCACTGGTGTGCCAGGAGGTTCATCCTCAGCCAGTTCCACTTCATACTGCGGCGGTGAGAAGACCGGGTCGTTGTCATTAACATCCTGTACTACAACCGCCACTGACGCTGTTGCTGAACGTGGTGGAACACCACCGTCTGTTGCTGTTACCTGTGTAAGAATTTATAGAAATTTAGATGGCCAAAATAAACTATTCTTGACTAGCTGTCGCCCGTTAGTTAGTCCGCGTAAAATAAGAAAAAACAAAAGTAAGTAGCCTATGAGTCTTTCCAGATTATCCTGTATGTCTACGCCAAATTTTATCGAGATCCGTTTAGCCGTTTAGGTTACAAACTCTAACAAACATCCATCCATCTAAACTTTTGCATTTATAATATTAGTAAGGTTATGGAGGTAAATAATGTGTAGTGTAGTTCACCTGCAATTGGTATTTAGGCTGGACTTCTCTATCGAGCTGTGCTGAGGTATAGACCCAGCCAGAACGAGGGTCGATGCTGATCGGCAGATCGTTATTGCCGTTGTACTCCTTGTCCGATAAAGTATACGTCAGTTCAGCGTTCACACCCTCATCGGCATCATAAGCTTGCACCTATAGGAAAAAACTTTTATTACATCTGCAATTATAAATGAAACACGAACTTGTTCTACTTTGGAAATTAGTTTAGTTTTTATTGTCAATAGACACAACTCACCCTGACAATACTGTACCCGACGGGTACATTTTCGCTGACGGACTCTTGGAACAGCGAGGTGTAGAACCTGGGCGCGTTATCGTTGACATCCTTCACGTTCACCAGCAGCTGTGTCGTATTTGACCGCGATGGACTCCCGCCATCTGAAGTCATTATTCACGTCAAATGTCGCGTGACAATACGTCGTCTAACGATAGCAATTAAGGTAAAAACATGAAGCTTTTTGTCCGCTGAAACACGAATTTAATTTTAGTAAGAATAATTGATCTTTTCGGAAAACCCTTTAAGTATGTTTTCAGTTTCATCTAATTCGTAAGGAATGTTTTATACAATTTTGTAGGTATAATAATTGCAAAGATCTGATAGAATTGTTTAATTCAAATGTCATCAATAAATCCCAAATTTACTATACAGTTATACAAACCTTGTGCCCTTATTACAAGACGGTAGTTTCGCACTTGTTCGTAGTCTAGAGGCTTGACAAGCGCCACATCGCCGCTGAGGCTGTCGATGGAGAACTGCATCTGCGTGTTGCCTCCTATAATGGCGTAGCGGATCGCAGCATTGGCTCCCACATCCGCGTCACTAGCTCTGATAACAGATAAAGTATTGTAAGAGTATTTCACTTAACACGTAGTTATTAAGATTGAATGTGGCTATAAAGGTAGTGCAAGACCGAAGAAAGTATGAATGGATTAGGTGAAAGTAACATGTAAATCCAGATATGACGGCAGATAGATAGGCAAATAGAGAGCAGAGCATAGAGATGGATGGGATACCAGTACATACTGTGTCGACGCTCAGTATCGACTAGGGCAGATTTATAATGACGATAATGAACATTTATAAGTTTACTTAAATTGTAACAAGTAAAAACAGAACATGAAACTAGAAAGAAAATACGAAGGATGTCAAAGTATCGTTTACTTGGTGTAAAAATGGTTGTTTTTAGAAAGCTTTTAGCGAGAAGACTGTTTATACGTAAACTATGTTAGCCTCGGAAACTCTTTCAGACATTTTCCACTAACTCGTGAACTTTAAAGTTAGTTTAAAAGACATGAAATAGAGTATAGACACTCGTAGAAGCGTGTTTCAGTCTAAATTATTTATGTAATGTTCCATCCTGTCTAATACGTTTTAAACTTTACATTTAGTTAATGTATTCACTAAATAGAACTTACATATTACCTCTACCAACTTTTAATCTATGTACAATACTTTCTATACTTTATCTAGCTTGAATATATGATAAATTTCAAATTTATTGAAGCTATTTCTCTTTCCAAGCCACTCCCATGTTGTGAGTACACAATTTATTTTATGTGTATGATAAATGGTGTAAGTTTTAATACCGGTAGCTGCTGCTATTATAAATTGAACAGATTTGTACAAAGCCGCAAACGCAATGTGTACGAAGCGTAATATCCTAGCTGTAAGCAACAATTTATTATGGACGCATAAATTTCAACGTCCAGACGCGGCAGGAGTTCTAACGTGCGATAAAACTTCAAGACGGCCAACGAATAAACACTATCTATTTGAATTTTATCTTGGTGCGAAGAATATTTTAAAGGATCTTTAATGGAAGTCTGTTGTAAAACTTCATAAGGTAATGTGCTGGAATAATCTTATCTATAGGAAAGTTTCTCTTTTGTTTTTAGAAGTAGATTTAATACCAGAAAACATGTTTTTGTATCATGCAACTTAGTAGCTATGTTTCAGTATTGTTTGAAATATAAATAAATGCACAAATAATTACTTGATTTTGGCAATGATGGGGTTATCGGAGACGCTGATGTCCTCGTCGACGGTGACGGTATACGTCTTCTCGCTGAACTGCGGGTAGTTGTCATTATCGTCTATTATGTTCACGTGGATTGTGGCACTAAAACACGACAGAATATAAATATAGTATAATAGCGGAATTGTTTATCGGCACTTAACTTAAAGACTTCATTAAGTTATGATACTCTCGTAACATGTTAATGAGAAATTACGGCTTTCCAAATGTCTACTTCTTATACCGTCATTTGTTAAACTATTACCTGCTAGAAAGCCTATCTGATACAGGACTCGCTTGATCCGTCGCCTTCACAATGACAGTGTATCTGGAGACCTTCTCCCTGTCTAAAGGCGCTCTCGTGAGCAGCGCGCCGCTCCTGCCGTCTACACGGAACACGTCAGGTGCGCTCGATTGTTCGGTATCACCTTCCACAGATTCATTAACTTCCTCTGGATTCAGACTGTCCGCTGATACTGAGTCTATCGTATACTCAACCTGCAAAGAAAAGTTTATTAGTCTATACTGATATAAAGAGGAGAAATATGTATTTTTGTGTGTATTGACATAACTCAAAAAGTACTGGCTCGATTTGAAAAATTCTTTCCCCAGTGAAAGCCACGTTATCACTAAGTAACGAGGGCTATGTTTTTATTATTTTTTAATTTCACGCGGGCGAAGTCGCGAGCAACAATTAGTCACTTATAAAAATATTGTTAGTGTCTTATCTTCTTTTCAAAAGCCCACTAAAACGGTAAATAGACTATTGACATGTAAATCTATGCATGTACCTGTGCGTTGTTGCCGATATCTTGGTCGGTGGCCTTAAGCGTCAGGACGGTGGTGCCGGCGCTGGCGCCCTCGCGTACTGACGCCTCGTACTGTTGCATCTCGAACACTGGAGCGTGGTCGTTGCAATCCAGTACGTTTATCTAGGAGAAAGATATACTTTTAAGTAACTAATGATAAATACGGCTTAAGCTTATTCATTTATCAAAAAAAATCTTGAATTCGGTTAAATTCGGTAATTACATTGTGAGAATTCTGACAATCACTGTTTTCATGTAAGTACATGTACAATTTCTTGTGAGATTTATTTAGGAAACACTAAGTGCGAGTATGGACTTAAATTATTTTGTTTCTATCGTTTTGATTACCTGGAGTGTTGTAGTACCACTTCTAGGCGGGAAGGTATCATCCTGCGCGACCACTCTGAAGTAATGAACGTCTAATCTCTCTCTGTCTAGTCTCGCTTGCGTTGTGACCACGCCTGACCTGGTGTCCACCGCGAACATGCCCGCGGAACGAGAGTCCAATAAACTTGACATTGAATACGTCACTGGGCTATTCTCAGGGTCCCTGTTAAAGAAGAGTATTTTATGGTCATCCATTAAAATTTTTAGTCTAATTAACATGCGTAATGGAGGAAACGGTTTCTTATATGGATTTCTGGATAAATGTTCACGAAGTTCTGTTTGTCGTTAGAATGTCTAATATTTGAACATGATAAAAGTTAGAAAGAGAGGGTTTCTTTGCAACAAATCGTTGAATTACGTAGTCATATGGTTGTATGTCTGTCTGGCATGATGCAAATATCATCAATATGAATTAAGCTAGTTTAGTTTTATGGTCTGGCGGCCATTGTCTGGCAACAATGCGCCGGCTCGTGACGTCATGAAATGGATGACATCATAAAAGCCTAACGAGCTTAAAGCCAATTGACCGGGCGGATGGTTTGTGTCTTACGGACCGTCTTGTTTCACATTCAAGGTTTCACTCGTCTGGCAACTTGGATGACTAATGCATCTATTCCTTTTCAAAAGGTATAGTGTTTGTTATTTAATGATAACCTTTAGATTTTTACAGAGTTCAGTAGTAACTAAACTAAGGGATATCCTTATGCGTTTATTTGTACACAGGTAAACTTTTTACTATTTTTCCCCTTAAATGGATAAACGCAAACTATTCGATATTGGCGGTAGTATTACGATGAAAGGTTTAATAATGTGAATCCTGCTAAGTCGTTATGATCCTGCCATTCACGGATCATTGAGCGGGGTGAGCGGTTGGCTGCAACGCCTGTTAGTGGCATTAGTGGGCAGGGGGAAGTAATACTGAAAATAATTTTATCGTAGTGACATTTCTTTTTATAGTCAATTCCGTAGAAGCTGGATGCAAAACCTTTTAAGTGCTTCGGATCTAAGGGTTCTTTTAGGTACTTTTTATATTTTTAATTTCGTCGTGTTACAAATAAATGTACATATTAAATTTATGTAATGAAGTTAAACAGATATCTTGGAAATAAATTAATTATATGACTGCTTTAATATTCAGTTAACCTTTAATAAAATAACATCAATATTAAAAGAAGCCAAGTACTTTTTAGTCTTGGATAATTAAAATAAAAATATCCTTACTAAAGATTTTGGTAATTTTGTACAACACTTACCGAGCTCTGACAGTTGTAACGACTACACCTGGCGGCTGTTCCTCAGCAACAGAAGCCACGTACAATGCTTGCTCGAAGTAAGGTGACTGGTTCCGTAATTCTCTCTTAACTCTACGAGCAATATCTGTATCATTAAGTTCCTGATGATGGTAAACTATCTTTAGTCTGTGGTCGGAGTCTACGATGTTCGATTTGTCACAGTTAAAAGTAAACAGGATAGACACCTTCCACATCGGTTCTTGTATGCACATATCGCTACTCGCTACAAGATCACCCTGACTGCTCTCGATCACGAATCTAGGGTCGCTGACATCCAAAAATTGAACTTTACAAAACTTTTGAACAGTACGCGGGAGGAACGCTGTTAACGAATTTATAAATTGTGATTGTTTAAGACATATTCCCTGCCACCGATCAGTAGTCGGTATTGAAAAACTGGCATACGTTTCAGAGATCCATTGCTTAGCCTCGGCTATCTTAACATCTATCGCCATATCGAAAGGTAATGGCAGAGATCTTTTATTTCTACTTCTATTTCTCGCTGCGAAGTCCTCGAAAACTGCACTCGTCCACGGATACGCTGTCGATAGCACTTTAAATTGACTAGAAAGTAATTCTTCTTCCTCTTCCATTAATCTCCAATCCATTATCTCTGGTTGATAATAGTGTGCCGCTCGTTTGTCTCTGGTATGATCATCTTCATATTGTAACGCGGCATCATCTTGATCGTAGACACGATCGAAATCGATATCATAGAGATCAGCGTGTCGTCTACTGCAGTCTTCTCCCGTAACTAGTATTCTAATAGGAAGGCTGTAGTAGTCTATATCGCGTATTCGTTCTGAAGTCGAGTCTACGTAGAAAGTGAAGAGGTTAGGATAGAGTACTCCATCGCATCGCAGTCTTTTCCTGAGGGTGACGAGACCGGAGGTTCTATTGACTCTGAGGACATGATGGACGAAGTTTGCGGTACGGTGTACGTCTATTGTGTATGCACGTTCCGAGCCAAGCTTGTAGACGGCCGCGTCGAGTACGACGTGTCCGGGCGGCGCGGTGTCGGGCACAAGGATGAGGTAGGCCCTGGTGAGCGACGCTGCACATGCAATGAGGAACGCAAGCGCCCAGGCCCGCGTCCGCGCTCGCGCCATGCTGCCACCGTTCACCTACAACAACGCCGCCTCATCCACCATCTGCTTTCGTTTCCCATCTGAAACAAAAGTCCATACGTCATTCAAATGTATGTACATATATGTAAGTCTTCATTGGTAAATGAAATAGCTTGGCTATTTGAAATCTCGCTAGGTCACCTCGAGATAACCAGTATACTTGGTGGCTTATTAAATAGCTTAAACTAGTTTTACCATTGCGTTTACTGGGGCCTATTTTATGACGTCATTTGGCAAGTAATTTATAAAACTGTTTACTTTGTCGTTGTCGTAGCAACGGATGACAAGTTGAAGTTACATTCGTGGTTCTGACAAACGACTTCTCATTTAGAGGCTCTTTTGCTAAATTATTATGAGGTCGAATACTGGGAAATATTACGAAAATACATGCTCACCGAAGTAGCATGGCACATAAATGTTTTAGTATATCGCTTGCATTTGCTCTCCCAAATTAAGAAGATTATAAACAAAACCATCATAATTAATATTAAATACAACAAAATTTACGGTTATTTTATGTAGATTGAGCTTCATTATTGCATTTTTGTTTATAGCATTGCAATCAGTAATATATTTCGAATTAATATCATGCGCCAATAATCTGTTGTTGAATAAAGCTGGGAAACTTTAATTAAAATATTTTTTATTAATGCCTACAGCATTAATTTGAAAACGTCGTTAAGGCTTAGTGACGTGTAGTCATTAGGCGTATTCGTGTATCTATGGTATTCATAAATAAGCCCCTTGTCTCGCCCACCATTTGTCATGCGAACGATATTCAGACAGCTGTGGAAGGGAGAGGGAGGTCCCCAATCTGCTAATAGCTACACGACGCATGCAATATCAATTACTGGACACGAATTTTAATAATACATAATGGCCTGTTTTCTTAATAACACCCGTTTCCTATTATTAATGTTATCCTAATTGGCGTATGTTATTGAACATAAATGATAGAATTTCAAGGACGCGTCACGTTTCGTTACCTGAGTGCGATGAAAGATATAATACAAATGTTAAACAAAAGAGAGCAGACTATGTTTCAGCCAGCTATGTTTAAAATACACAAATGTTACGAGTACGATTAGGATACACTGCACAAAATAATATGATAAATCACATGTCTCTTTAGACCATTAGAATATCGAGTGCTAGATTTCTTTCTACTAAATAAATGAGAGTATTTTCACCACCAACTATCAAATGTGGCCAGGAACCGTAATACGTATTACATTTAAATGGCATTTATAAATCTTGCACTTTGATATCTGAATCGCGTACAAATTACGTGGCCGCACGGATTGACCAGTTAACCAAGAGCTCCAGATAAAGTGCTACATTTAAAAAGCTCTACATTTATTCTCTACGTGTGCCATTACCGACCAGTGGCTGAGACCAATGAATTTGGTGGCGGGGAAATGTCCCCGATTCACGTACGGACAATACATAGAATGGGCTTCAGAGCACAATGGACGAGCTGAAATATTTCCAATAGAAATTCTCTGATAAAACCGAAAGATGAAGTTTTTTTCCTGTACATATTTTTTATTTTTTCTATATATTTTATGGTACTAAGCTAAGACCAAAATGACAGAATATGCGCAATTTTCAGCTATAAAATATTAAAGTTAGGTTCTCCAAATAACATAGTTACTTTCTTCTAACCTCAAAATATAAGTAAAGTTCTACTCTTCTCTCACTGTTGCTATCATAACAATGAGTGCATTCGAAATAATCGTCAGTAAATATGCATTGTCAAGTGTAGCGACGCCCTCGCAACACTCGACGCTACCAATTAAGGGGATGGGATCAAACAAAACTATTGCAGATAGAGTAGTGTCTGCGCGAGTAACAAGCCTTTCTCGTTTATTACACTCGCTTTGCCTTAAATGATAATTTAAGAGCGTGCGCACATCTTTGACTAAACTATCGCACAACTGTTGTGCGATTGTCGATTGTTTTGCAGCCAATTCAACTGTTTAGTTGCACAACTGAAAATCGAGTAGTTCGCACCTACCATAGGAATCAAAACGAGACTATACAGTTGTGCGATTTATGTAGCTTTAGGTGTGCTCACGCTCTAATCTTCATTTATTTTCAACGTGGGCTTTTTATTCATTTTGTAATACAACCGTATTTTAATTACTGCGTAAACGAATTATTTCATTATCATATCTGTCTGCAGTAAACATTCCTTCGCAAAAATTACATTGAATTTTCTCAAATCCATCCCCTTCAATGAGGCAAAACGGAATAAATGAATAAACAAGAGTAAAAAACCTCGATACTGCCATCGTAACTGAATGCATCAAAAGGGGATTGGGCAGGCTACGTTGGTACAGTCGCGTCCAACAACATGAATACAGATGCAAAAGATTTTTTAATCCCATCACGAATATATTTTGCATTCGACTGTATGTACAGGTACGAAGGAAAGTCTTGAAATAAATCACTGATTTTTCAGAAGTTTTTCAAAAAAATATTCATACGAATACATGGTTTATGTATGTTATGCACATAAGGATAAGGAACTGGACGCTTGTTATTAAGTAAATCTTTGATGTTAGGAACTCTGAGTAACAATTAACTTACTAAAAATTTATTGAAATGTATGAAAGAAGTACAATTTAGAATGGTTAGTCCTAAAACAGAATCCATGTAGTCTTTTAAAACGTTAATAAAATAATCGTCAGAAAATATTCTTACGATTGAAAATACCTCGAAAGGATTCTACTTAAAAGTTTCTGTCTGAGTCATCAAGGAAAGAAACCAATTAAATGCTTCTACATTATTCCTTCAATTTTTTTCACGCATCGCCTTTTTAAATTACATTTTAAATCGAGATGATTAAAATTAAACTTTATTACGTCACGTTAAGCTATATAATGGCTTAATCGATGGTATAGGGTAATTTGGTAAGCAATTTCCGTTAAAACAAGGCTCACGGACAGGTTGCGCCTGCGTTTACCTGCACGCGGGTTGAATCAGTTTTTATGATAGTTCTTGTACGAGGTACAAGACGATCTCGAAATGCTTTATTTGGTTTGTACATGTATTGAAGTCGATCGAGTTCCACTTAGTAACGGTTTAGAAAGCCGGTTACCTCGATGCTTAGATACTTAAAGTTGATGACTATTGACTTAAATAGACGTGAATTAATCTCGTTGAAACTAACACTTATAAATAAAAATAGACACGTTTAGATATTCGTAATGTTAAACTGTCGTTTACCAATTAGAGAACATCGTTATCAGATTTTCATCTGATCAATCTATACTGTTATAACAAAGCGTAAACACACACTTCTTTATTGCCTAAAATGTCAGCAATAACAGCATATTTTAGAATAGTTCTTTTTTTAATAAAATACCACACACTTACATCACGCTTTAGGCTCTATATTTTCACGCTATAAAACTTAGGGGGTAAAAATTTTGGATAAAAACCTAATGTGGGAAAGAGACCATAAGTTGCTGCCAACATCAAGGAAGCAAGATTGCCAAGGTTTGTCATGTCATGTCATTTTGACATTTGCAATTCACAATTTGACAAATGTAAACAATGAAATAAAATTTTCATAATTTCATGCGGATGGAACCGCGCAGGAACAGCTAACAATAAATTGTTTTGTTGAAAGGTACTTAAAAAACATCTGTACTTAGATAACCATAAAAAGCTATATTTATATCGAGTAAGCGATTCTACATCGCTAAAGCATCAATAGAAGTAAAAAACTAGCAAAAAATGCTATTTGAAAAGAACTGCAGCGAAGTACCCCAGTAATTATAAACCAGAGAGGGCGATAAGAAGAAAATCAACCGGAAGCACCCTTTTTATCTGCCCCAATGCTTCGAGTCGTGTACGTTCACAGATCACGTCTTCAAACAGCACTGAGTTTGAAATCGATAAGGGAACTTGCAATCTTATACAATTCTGATAGCTTCGCGTCTATCCGATTGTTATAAAAGTTACTAAACACGTAATTTAATGCACGTTTTATCATTTTGTTAGGAATTACTATGTAGTAAATCATACTTCATACTAATATAATAAATGTGAAAGTTTAGATGGATGGATGTTTGTTGCCTAAACTGCTGAACGGATCTCAATGAAATTTGGCATGTACATGTAGAGGATAGTGTGGAAGAACACATAGGCTACTTGGTTTTGTTTATTTAATACCACACGGACGGAGTCATGGGCGAAAGCTAGTTAAGTCATAAGTAAACTAGTACCATTCATAAAATCTTCTTTATTTGCTGTTAAACACACTTACTATTTACAAAAATTGGTAAAATTGCATTGGTGAAATAAAAACGTTGTTTGCTTGCTTCATATTTAGCACTCTCGTTCGCGCTTAAATCCTTGTTATTTTTTAAAATTCAAATTATGTCTATTGATTTCTTGGCGGCCAGTACAGTATTAAATATTCATCCACAATATTTTTGCAACTTAAAAAATTATAATAATAAAATCATAATGTTTAAGTAAATTAGTTTTTTTTATTATAAATATGCTTTTACTTGTAAATGAAATGAAAATATTATTTAATTATTGTCAGCGCCATCTATTATCAATTATTGCATAACCACTTAAAAAATCAACTTTATTTTTTTTAAATTTTGGTTGCAAAATTTGGTTCTGATCTAATTTATTCAATAACTCATGAGTCACAAATAAATAAATAGAAGTTAGTTTGTAACTAAAAATATCGCTATTTTTGTTACGTTAAAATTACTATTTATTATAGAAGGTTAACACAATGAAGGAGATAAGTGTATTGTTTCTATATTGTATACAAGATTAACACGTTATCCAATCCGGCACTTAAGCCTAATGCGAAGACGGACGCTGTTAACTGATATGTGATTAATGAAGCGAGCGGAAGTCGGAAGGTTGGGGTTGTTCCGATAAATAGAGGATTATCCCCGACTTTCGTTAGACAAAGCGTCTCAGCATTATCAATGTATCGGGTTTCTTGCCTGTCCATGTATCAAGTACTTAAAACAACCATAGAGGCGTAAAAATTAAAAGTATATAA